GCATAGTCTCGCGGATGTCTGCATTGCGATAATGTTTTTATGGTGTATGGTGGCGATTTCCCAGGTCGTTGACGGGACTTAATGACTTTTGATTGGATCTGTGAGAAAATTCCTATACATTCGGAATATCGGCTCCACGCGTGAAAGCCACAAAAGCCCGTGTTCTGTGGAATTTCGCGAGAGATGCAAATGACGTTTCTTCGTTTGCAATAGTCCAGACGTTGTCACTAAGGGGCTTAGTGGGTTATATCCGGTAGACGGTTGCTACGCTACCCGCGAGGGAAATCATAAGGAAAAGTATTTGGACATGGTAAAAAGCTGACGCTCGTTTGATGTAGGATGGATGCATGAGGGTCGTTGCGCCGGACGAATTGCGGTAATTCGTCCGGCGCGTTGCCCCGACTACTTTAGTCCTTCAGGAAAATTAAATACCACGTCATAAACTGATCACGCCCAACGGGAGATGATTTTTGGCAATTTTAAAGTCCGTGATGGCAAAGAAATGCTTTGTCAAACTCCAGTGGATTTAGTCCGGCAGAATTGGGCCTTTACATTGTTTTGGGACATAAAGTTTTTTTTATTGTTTAGATATATTGTCGATGACATAAATAATGATACCCAGGTGGGTGTGGAGTATATAATGTTGAGCAATTTTTTTTAAATGGATTTCAAGTATTTGTACTAAGATGACGCACAACCTGAATCCTAACCTGGTACACATGCAATGTTCAGGTTGTGCGCCATCTTGGTACGAATACTTCAGGAGCACCTTTTCGTTAAAAACAATTATTTCATAACTACATGGGTTAGTTTTGAATACATAGTAACGTTGCATCTTCTTACAATGTCAGAAATTCAATTTTAATAGAAAAAATGGTAGTTTATTTCACTAATATAAGCCAAGATCCATCGACGGCATCTAGCCACTTTCTTTTGCGCTCGTCAAACTACATTTGTGTTGCTGCGGGCATTTCGTTTTCCTGTTTAAAGCTTAGAGACTTGGGAAATATTTTATTAGTTGAAATGGATTGGAATATTCGACCTCGTCTTTCACTCCGAACAAGGCCATGTAAAAACTTCCACTGGTATCTAACGATGTGTAACGTGTTTTATTTTGGAAGAACCGGAACCTTTCAGGTGCAGCATTGACTTTGGCCAAATTAATATATCCTTGTGGAGATAGAAGGTATGCCTATGCGAAACCGAGATGTGCACCTGTTATGCCAACATAGTTGAGTCAAACATTTTGATCACTAGTACATCACACACATTTTCCTGCTTGCTTCGGTTGCACGTAGTAACGCGCACATTTTTGCGAACATGCATCAAACTCCACTTGTTTATTGAGCTATAGGTTTTTGACGAGCTTTTGTGTATGATTTCATTTTATAGAATTTGTATGCTGTTTTAAAGAATACTAGTTTCAGCTTTTTTATTCATTCAAACCGCGTGTTGGTTTTCAAATGGTTTATTTATATCCATCACTTGACATCCTTAAATCGGCGATGCCAGTAAATCTTTAATACAAAAAAATCAGTATCATCTGCAATAAAAACAGCAGTACCTACTCAAATGACAGCTGGGGGATGGATACTCATATTATCTGCTCGATCGCTCGCCTCTTACTAGTTTACATTGAGTGCCAATTGGTATCTAAGATCAGCCAGAGACAAAAAGTTTCGGACTGCGTTTGGCGTGACGAAATGTTTTAAAATATGTAGTCCACAATAAGATTATTTGATGCATATTACTGAAAGTCACGCCTTATATGTCATTTCTCATTGCACTATTTTTTTTACTGATATTCAATAATATGACGCTCATCTGACATAGTTTTTCAAGTGTGTAGATAGGTATAATCTTTTCCACGCTGTTCAGATGGGAATGCGCGAATATATCTGAGAATCGCTAACATTGGTTTGCAATGCGATGAAATCCCATCTTGGCATTTCTGCCTCTCGCAATTGCTGCGTATATTTATTGGGGAAGTTCTGTGGCGTGGTTATTAAATGAAGAACACATGGGAGTATTTTTTCCACTTCTCTACTACTCTCAAACCTTGACATTTTGTCAAACCTTTTTTCCATTCAACCTATTTTTTGAAACATCCCCAACAACCACAATTAATTCTGTAATCAAACTTCCGAAACAAACAGATAAAATCATCAACAGATGCATATCACCAAGTCCTAAGTAGATATTGCTAAGTTGATCTTTATTTTACCATTTCCATGTAATGCTTTTTGGTAAACCTGTTATCTATCGTAAATACAGCGCATTTGGCTATGTTATAGTGTAACTTTTTTGGCCTCACATTTTTGATATTTGTATTCAGATCTCTTGGCCTTGGGGCTCTGTCAAACAAAGTTACATATAAAATATTGGTTGTCAATTGCAAAACATGATCATGTTATGCAATTCAAGAGTCCTGCTGCACACTAACACAAATATATTTCTGTAACGTTTCGTCTGACCAAAATCAGACTTCCTCAGACAAGCAGTTTACACTGATCATGATCATGTTGTTGGAATAACTCGGCATTTTTACCACCCGTATATATATCATTCATCGTCGAGAATAATAATGAAATCATAAAATCTAAAACCCGTTTTCGTGAATTTTTTGTTGTAGCTGAATTCGAGGGACAGCATGACAACAGGCAAGAGAAGCACGGTGGCCTCTCATAGTTTTTGACAGGGTTTCCTAAAAGGGGGCCCCGGCCTCCTTGGAGGCCTCTGATCGGTTATCTGGGAGCACGAACAAACAGCTGGAATAATAATGAAATCATAAAATCTAAAACCCGTTTTCGTGAATTTTTTGTTGTAGCTGAATTCGAGGGACAGCATGACAACAGGCAAGAGAAGCACGGTGGCCTCTCATAGTTTTTGACAGGGTTTCCTAAAAGGGGGCCCCGGCCTCCTTGGAGGCCTCTGATCGGTTATCTGGGAGCACGAACAAACAGCTGGAAATGCGAATATATAATAACAATGTATTTTTATAGAAGAGAAGAAGCAAAAGTGTTGAAAGTTTTTGGTAGTTTGAAAAGCATTGGCATGGAACATAAGAATGAACTACATTCTTTCCCAGGGATATACTATAAAATGTAGCAATTTTCTCATTCTTGTTCACGTGATATCATTATCTTTCACTGCATCGTCGTGATCATCCCGCTGCATAAGAATCCTTTCCTTGCTAACAAATAATTGACTGTTCTCCACCGGGTGAATATCCACTTGAACCACTGCCGACTGCATTAGCAGGCTTGTATTGTTAATTGCAACAAAAGCGGGTATTTTGAAATAGTACTCTTTAGTTTACGCGTATTTCAACAGTATTTCCATATATATGGGTCGCGACCCAAAGCTGGGTTCAAAGAATGCCTACAAGTTATTGATTTTTATTTCCTAGTAAATTTGGTGCTTTCGTAGTTTGTGTACCAAGATGGCGCACAACCAGAACATAGTATTGTAACAGGTTAGGTTTCAGGTTGTGCGCCATTATGGTGCACAGATTTGATGAAAAACACTAATACAAATATCTAGCCGTAAAAGTTGCTCAAGGCTGCAAACTCCACACCCATGTAGAAATGATGGGCAATAACCCCAAGATGAATAATCACAAATTAAAAAAACTTTGTCTGAAAACAAGGTTGGGCCCAAAAAGGCCCCTTATCTGCCGGACTAATTCACACGCAAATGGCATCGCCGTATATGAGAAACGCTCGGTTAATATTTTTTATTAAAACTTTTCAAAAAATAAATCATTCGAATTTCTTACGATCTGACATTCACCTTCCGCTATACTTCACAACCTATATTATAAGTATGGTACATTACGTATGGCTAAGAGAATGTGAGTGAACGATTTACCAGTTGTTTCACATCGCTAGATTTTCCAGCGAAAATTAATTTAAATCTATTTTGTAAAACGCACTATAATAATTTTACGTTTTGTTCATTATGCTTTAGTTTGTCTTCGCAATTCGACTGGTTTATCCACATGGTATATATAATGAGTATTTATGGGCACACACACGCAAATACGACTATGTGGAATGCATTGATGCACGTATCTAAATCAAAATATACTTATAGTTAGAATACGTCACAGGCTGTTTCAAAAATCTCCGGTTCTAAATTTTTTTTTGCGACTTTCGGTTGACCTTTGCTGCACGAAGCAAACTCATATCAGAAATGTCACCACTTTATTCGATATTACGTCAACTTGACCGCAGTTTCTACGGCCTGGTCGATAAAAGAGTAAGTCCTGGAAAGTTTAGTTTCGAACGAACGAATTGCGACACGATCGTACATGCACGAATTATTGAAATATAATTACCAATGTAGAGAGAGCCACGCATATGCGAATGTTGGCGCGAAAGACCATCGACGGAAAATTAAATGAGTCCAGATTAGTTTTACACCGAAGTCCGATTTGATTTACTACAAATGTCCTTCCAACGAGTAATAATTCCTAGATGACTTTAATCGGTCTTGCACACCGACCCGCACAAAGCAATAATCAATTACTGTGGAATATTTTCGTTATTGTATTATGTTTATATTAGTGTTGATTTTGTTTTTGTGGCAATAAATATCTCTCTCCCAAAACGCAGGTATTCAAACAAATCAAGAAGTTCTTCAAATTATGGCATATTTTTTTTGCGAGCAGCGGCATTCTTTCCCCACCGACCAGGCACAGTCATGTTTCCCGAAAGCTATTTGGACAGCAGCTGCTAACAGTCTGCAAAGAAATCAGTATTGGATGTGGATAGTTTCTCGCCGATGATTTATTTTCAGCTTCCTTAAACCCCTCTCACGACTGCTAAACGCTTGAGCACAGCTGATTATCTTTCCAAAACCTTACAATAATAAATCTACTACTAAACGAGCAGTCACATCCAACGCGAAACTTAGGGGAAGTCTGACCCTACAACTATGGCTTCAACAAGAGCTGCTATTGATGACAGACACCTACATGAACGCCACGAAAAGGCATGTCCACAATCAACTGATATATTTGCGAACAGACAAAATCATTCACATCTGATAGATCGCTCCATGCCAAGGAAAATGTAGGTTTGGTCTTAAATAGGAACGATTAAAACCGAAGAACTTTAGGAAATGACAGTAAAAGTAATTTTGGATAACATTTAATTCATATATCAACATTAAACTCGGAACGGTCCTAAAGAGCAAACAAAATCAGGAAAGCAATCATAAGACAAAATAGACCCATGGCCTCTGACAAGGCAAATCCTAGAATAGTGTATGAAAACATCTGTTGTTTCAGTGACGGATTCCTGAAAAAGGACAAATGTTAAAGTAATATAAGGAAGAATAGTACACTACTATCCGGTTAAATGATAAATTCGGTGGTTGTGAAGCGAGGAACTACACTAAAGGAAAACTTAAAATCAGCAATAATATTTTTAGAAGCTGCCCTTGTTTGGAAATATGGATTGATACAAAATCACAGATATAGTTTTAAAAATGCTAATATTTAATTAAAGTAATGTGATACATGTCAAAGACAAAAAAATGGCCCTACTTTTATACTACTAATGTGGATCGGGATATTAACCATAGAAATACATGTCACTAATCCTTGACTTCAACACCAATTTTTCAACAAGTTACCTTGCATAACCAATAATGAAACTTCCAAAAACTGTTCCAATTCCAGCTCCCGATCCAGCGACACCGACTGTTGCAGCACCCGCTCCAATGAAACGGGCAGCTGAGTCAATGTCTCTTTGAACCGCTGATGTCTGGAAGTTTCTGGCCTAAATAGAATAATTATTGAACATTGAGACATGAAGACAGAGAATTATTATTTCCATAGCCTAATAAAATAACTTACCACAATGCCATTTTGTGATGTAACTGTGCAGCTAGCTGGCATGAAGTTGCGCAGCGCAGATCGGAGCTAAAAAAAAAAGAAAAAACTTTTATATTCAACAAGTCACAAACAAGGAATGAGCCAATTATGCCTAAAAAGTTTCATCAACATCTTACAGCTATTAAACATTATCAACCAGGTTTAAATGAGGCCATTCATGTTTGGTTTGCCAGTTAAATCAATAAAGGATTCAGATGGTATTTATTCCTGGCCTTCATTCTCACTAGCATGAAGTGACGTTTGAAGAGTATGCCTGCCGACAATGTGATGTTAACGACCAGACAAATGACAAAATTTGTAACACAAAACATTGGATGGGAGAATAGGCTGCACTTTCCTAATTGCTAGCAAAGCATAGCAGCATCCAGGCATAGGTTAATAAACTAACCAATTTTGAGTGCTGCAGTGCTTAGGTGCTAGAAGAGTAAGATATTTAAAACTTATCACATGTTCCAATACGCGAATCCTGAAATTATCAATAGTTGGGATTGTTCAAAATTGCTTTTATTGTAGTCTCACACTTCTGCACCTGCACAAATACCCTAGTTCAGTAGTTCTGTTACTTATTCTAGCTAGTATTTAGGTCCATAATTTAATCTTAGTCTTTAAGCTTCCGAGTATATTTGTACTGCTTTACTGGTTAAGTTAGCATTATGATTGAATTTTTTCAATGGCAAATCATAATTCCCTGTTGGTAGCTAGGCTGAAAATCGTTGGATATAAAACATAAAAGTGAAACTTACAGCCATCTGTGAAACTGGGACAATCTTGTTGCAGTAAGCCATTGTATCTTTAAAATTTCTCTGTAAGTTAACAAACAACTGTTTTAATGTGCAATCGACACGAGAGTTTTATATCGATGAACAAAACGGAACGTTGACATATTATTTGAAGTGCTAAAAATAGATCAGTGTCGCAACATCCAGATTTACAAGGTCAAAAAAATAACGGAAATTTCAGCTATTCAGGGTTCCCTTACAGTTAAAGTACTTAAATAACTTAACAAAGTCCATAGGTACATCTCGAAAGCAAGAGAATACTTACCGATGACCTTCCAACAGAACGATAAATGAAGAATGAGAAAAGACGCCGAAATCTTCCAGACAGCAAAAAAGTCCTCAACGGTTGACGGGCAGCCAAGGAGACGAGCTAATGCGCATGCGCAGCGACGTCATAGAACAATTTGTGTGCTGGGGCGCAACGGAGTAAATTGACGTCATATCGACCTCGATTTCTGATATTACGTGATCATTACGTAAGTAGTACGTCATCTAAATATCATTTCGCAACAATTGTGCAAATAGGAGAAATATTTCGCGTTAAACATGATTACGTTAATATATGTTTATAGCGCTCGGTGATTTTGTAGACGTAGTTGCATGAGCCGAACGATATTAATTTCGACCGTTAAGAATTGATTAAAAATATTATTAGAGATGCAAATGTTGAAATACTGGGAAATAGTCGACGAAGTATTACGCAACACATATTGATGACGTCGAAACGAAAAAATCATGTCAACACGGATATGGGAAAAGGAAAGACAAAACTACGGCTCAATAGTATGATGAACATGGTAGTCTATCGCAGTTTCTTTTTATAAAATCACTTTTATAGGTTTAAATATATATGAAAAGAACTCTAACGCCATAATAAACAATCTTATATAGCTAATAATCATTAGTCTGTCGAGGAAGTGCGTGTTTAAATATAATTTCTAGAAAGTCCGGACCCAAATATTTTTGAAGTTATGTATGTGGACGATCTTCGGTAAAAATAGTTGAGTAGCCCTGGTCTATTGAATTAATAATAAACTAAAAACATATTAGTGGACATGTCAGTGGACATAAGGATCGTTTCAATATTATGTTGTTGTTCTTGTTTTTCTTCTCTTTCGTCATGATAAAATCGCTTTTTTCTTCGAATACTGGACCAATTGCTATGAAATTTTCAGTGATTAATGTAGTGTGTGATAGTGATAGTAGTGATGTTTGAACCAAACATGGCATGTTTTCGTCGTCATTTAGATTTTAGACGAATAGAAATTCTACAAATTCAAACTTTGGTCAGTTTGGCGTTCTGCGACCACCACATCAAAAGTGCGAGAAACGAGTCTAAGTGAAGAAATTTTCTTGACGACAACGACGAAAAAATGTTGAAATCCAATATTGGCACCATTAGCATCATCGTTTAATAATCGAAACAGTTCCATGTAGCCTACACTAAAAATGAAATGAAAAAGGTTGTGCGCCATCTTGGTGTGCATACTTCAGGAGGTCCAGAGTTCAGGTTGTGCGTCATCTTGGTGCGCATACTTCAAGAGGTCCAGAGTTCAGGTTGTGCGCCATCTTGGTGCACATACTTCAGGAGGTCCGAAATGCTATAAATATTATCACTATTTTAGATAGTGTGAATCGAAATAAATTTACGTACTGCTTATTCGCTAACGAAAACGACAACACAGCTTCTATTCACTGGAGATGAAAGTTTAGGTAGGAGGGAGGAGGGATGCTCACCCGCTATAGCCTATAAGGGTTGTAGGTAACTCACGGATTTGGATCATGATGAAAAAAAAACATTATGTCCTCAATCAATTTTCTATTCTATTGAAATACATTTTCTGAATTGAAGATAAAATAAAAGCGTTATCTAAAGTACCTACTCGGGTTTTCACCTTAGAATACAATTGTTATTACATTTTAGAGGTCAGATCAGAGCCATTATATAATGGCTCTGGTCAGATTACCGACCGTGGTTTTGCATTTTCGCAACAAAAAATATCTTTCCCCTTCAACGAGTAAATTTCGACAACGCGTGGCAATGAAGAAACAATGATGTAATATAACAGATTAAAGCTTCATAAAATGTGCACGAAAAAAATAGAAATGCTACGCGATGAAGGAAAAAAATCGCAAGCAAAAGAGTTAATTACATGAGCATTCTTTATTTGAACTGGATATTTTTAAGCGAAGTATGGCGGGCTGGATTAAAGTGTGGTATGGATTCAAGCGTTGTTTGGTGATCCCTGCCGTAAATGAATGAACATACCGGTATATTCATTCCACCATGTATAGTAGCCGGTTTGCTATGAGTTTTCTAATCGTGCACACTGTCATGCTATAATATATATGCTTAACGGTGCTTTTTTCGTGCTCATTTTATGACGCTTTAATCTGTTACATTACATCATTGTTTCTTCATTGCCACGCGTTGTCGAAATTCACTTGTTGAAAGGAGAAAGATATTTTTTGTTGCGAAAATACAAAACCATGGTCGGTAATCTGACCTCTGAAACGAAATAACAATTGTATTCAAGGTGAACGCGCGAGTACTTTATTCGATAACGCCTTTATTTTATCTTTAATCCAGGAAATGTATTTCAATAGAATAGAAAATTGATCGAGGATATATTGTCTTTTTTTCATTATGATCCAAATCTGTGAGTTCCCTACAACCCTTATAGGCTATAGCGGGTGAGCACCCCTCCTCCCTAAACCTTCATCTTCAGTGAGCAGGCGCTGTGGTGTCGTTTCCGTTAGCGAATAACCATTACGCATATTTATTTCGATTCACACTATGTAAAATAGTGATAATATATATAACATTATTTTATCTGTCGCTGAACTCCTAAACCAAAACTTCTTATGCCTTTTTCGTTTCATTTTTAGTGTAGACTACGTAATATTGTTTCGATTATTAAACGATGATGCTAATGGTGCCAAACTGGGATTTCAACATTTTTTCGTCGTCAAGAAAATCCCTCCACTTACTCGTTTCTTGTACTTTTGATGTGGTGGTCGCAGAACGCCAAACTGACGTAAACGTGTATCTGTATTTTCAAACCACAACAATATAATATGTTTCTTAAAATTGTTTATTTACTTCAGTTTCATAATAATAATAAAAAGAATGAAAGGTATCAAAAGTGAGAACCATGAAATAACGGTCTCAGTTTCATAAAAAGACAAATGTACCAGTTCCTAATACTTGATGACCAAATGTATGATCATGGTGCATCATTCTTGGTTCTGGAAGCATTTAAACCTGCATATCGAGCATGCTGGCATCCTTGCCATTTAGTAACACCAAATCGTGCATTCATAGTTCTGTATGGGAAGCCATTTCCATGAATTCAGCCACGAGTTCCCAAAAATCACTTAAATCATTCTTCCCTTTCCTAATGAGATCAACAAGAACCTTGGCATGGATAGCAGTTTGTTGGTAATAATTCAGTGTTTCATGGAAGCTGCAAAGCGAACATTTGAAATAATTGGAAATATGCATAAAACACTGGTAATTAGAATAATAAATAAGAACATATTTAGAGGGACTGAGAGCAATTACTTGGAAGGATATTTTGAATCTTAGTCATTGCATGATTCTACATAATAATTTCCTAAAATTATTAAAAACAACATCATACGTATCGTCTTTCTTCAAAGTTTTGACAGTACCAACTGAAGGTTGTGGTAAAGTACAGTTTAAATGAGATTCATCTAATACTCTCGATGTAAGTATTCCCCCATCTTTCAATGTATCTCGCATTTTATGCATCTAGGTAATAATAATAATAAGATTCATTATCAGAATATTTCAGTGTGCTAACACCACAACCATAGTGACCTTTCGAGACAATAATAGGATTATGATATCACTTGAAATAAATAGAGAGTAATGGTAATGTTAAAACTGTAACTTCCTTAGACAAAAAGCACTGTAAAATATATTCTACACTAATTGATTGGCAAATTAAAATTATGCTCATCGTCGTCGCAAATGGTAGTTAATACAGTGATAATAAAATAAATAGTACATTATAAAAGGGAGAAAAAAGGGTCATGTTTTGTTGAAGGTTTCTGAATCTTTCCACTTAAAGAGCATTTTAGAATATTTTATAGTTTCTCAATCTTGTGTAAAATTCCGAAATATCCTGTTCTGCTATTGCTAAAAATTATAAAAAATTGAATGAATGCAATAAATCTCACCTCTTTGCAAACATAGCATTCAAATCCATTTAAAAAATGTTGAGAGCCCGAATCACTAGTTGACCAGTCACGATTCTTGATTGCGGCTTTCAAGTTTTCAGGAATACTTTTCTCACTCTATAAAATATAAACACATCACAAATCGAATGGGGAGAAATAATAGAATGAAACCCAAATGAAGAGATATTTAGACATAAATAAAAATCACCGGTACTCCCGAAGTATGTGAACCAAAATGGCAGACACCAGAACGTAGTATGTGTACCAGGTTAGGGTTAGGCCATAATTTTATTCCAATTTTCCTTATTTTAGTTTTATTACGAGTACGGGAACTAGCCAAGTGACTCCCGTAGTATTTGTACTTGAAATTATGGTCTAACCCTCATTACCTTTTTAAATTCCAAATAATTGAGATAAGAATCATCATCCATGTCCAATGAATTGAGTAGAACAGCCAATGCTTTTGGTGAACGAAAGTCTTTCACTGAACAACACAACAAATACATGTCAAAAATATTGCTTTGAATACACAAAGTCAACTTTAAAAAAATGTCTTTCTGCCGATCCCCGTAAACAGGATGTAACAACATGGGCGATACAGATCCGGAAATATTCTAATTATTATATTTTTATTGGTACTCCCATAGTATGTGTACCAAGTTAGGGCATAATTTTATTCCGATTTTCTTTATTTTAGTTCTATTACGAGTTCGGCACTGTCTATGTTAACCAAGTGAATAGACCCCATGCCCATGGGTTTCAATCCATTTACACAACTGGATGTAAAGTGGGCCTAAAATTAGTTACCTCCATATTGGTACACAAACTTCTGGAGCGCCTTTTTATTAGTTGCTCATGAAGAGCCTTTTTTGGAGAAAAAAAAAAGAGTAATACTGACATATAGAATTAAAGTATCTGTCGATACGTAAATGATTTAAACTGTCAGATTATTCCAAGACATCTACAAACAATTACAATACTCAAATGTTTTGTTTTTTGATAGCAAAACGCCATTTGGGCTAACTAGGCTAATGATTCCCATTTGCATATTATTCATCACATGTAATTATGTTTCTAATTTTTAAACAATTTACTAACAAGTTACCTGAAATATATGATCCATTAGGAACCCAATCCTGAACATTGCTAGCCCCCATATATATTGGGACAGATCCAACATGAAGAGCTCTATAAATTTTTTCTGTTATGTAGTCATCACATAATGCATTTTCAAATGTGATATGGAACTTATATTGGCCTGAAAATGAACATAATTATGAAGAACAACTAGTTCTCAAGTTTAAAACAGGGCTAAGCTTCAAGCTTGATTGTGCAAAGATGTCTTTTTTTCCATAGGTTAATGAAACCTCAGTTAAGACAATTTGATTACATGGTTAACAAATGTTCTCCTCCAATATATAGAGGTATGGTGTAAAATTATGGATAAAATTTAAAGTATGCTAATTTTTATTCATAACAAGAAAAGAGAACATAACAAAGTTTATTACAGAAGAGAAGACGTCACTATCCCAAGCAAAGTTGTAATTTTACATTTGAACAACGTCAAAAGCATGTAATGAAACTGATAGCCTATTACTTAGTAGAGAAAAAAAAATTTCTTGCTTGCCAACTTCAACAACTCAAGGAACTTTACCCCATGGGGTAAATTCAACCACATGCTAGCTACACCAGGAAGGATATGGCAAGCAAAAATAACATACCTATCAATTCATATAATTCTTCACTATTCATTGACTGTATTCCTACCAGATCATCATCATCAAATTCTATATTATTTAAACATTCTCCATAACTGTCCACCTTCAAAAAAACATTTTTTAAATTAAATTTGTTACTAAATAAAACCCAAAGTAAACAGGTGATAGGCACCTTCACACAAACCTGTATATGTTTCATGAGTTCGCTGACATATCTATCTCGATCTGACGGGACATCACAATGAGATTGTAAGTATAAGACAGGAGCAAGACCATTTTGCCGAAGCCTAAAATGAAAGCAATGCTGGAAGCATTAGAAAAGCACAAATTCCTATGGAGGCGATAGCATTGAATATAGTAGCGGGTTGCAAGGGGAAATATCGATAAGGATTGGTTTGATAACATCCAAATGTTTAGCCTAGGGGATGGCAAACTGCAAGTTGTTTGTGGCCCCAAACGACCCCATTTTCAATGCATAAAAACAAAAATAGCCCATAAATTTATTATCTGTGGATGCATGCTGTAAAAATGGTTGTTTTACAGCTAACACAAGAACAGGAGTTGCAAGTGCGTCATATTTGTTTAATGTGCCGATTCTTATGCATGTTACCGTCAATGTGCATAATTGGCCCAGTAGTACATAAAGTTTGCTGACCACCAGTTTAGCCAATTAATGTAGACGTAATGGCTATATTTCCTACCTGATAACATACAGGGTTGATAATATCACCAAAGAAACTGGGATTTTAAAAAGAGAGAGATAACCAGTATTACATATCAGCCCTAATTTTTCTCAACTGAGGAGGACATCGAGAATAAAAAAAATTAGACTCACTCATTTTTTTCCAATATTGATATTGGTTCTCTATCCAAAATATATTCAATGCTTTGTATATGTTGAGTAGTCAAGGGATAATCTGAATGTTGCTTGAAGGTTGATGAAAAGTTGAATAATTTTAGAACGTCCTTGTGACAGAGAATAAAATTGTTTTGTGGTGATTCCTCGTGTAACAATGCCCACTGAAATAAAATTAAAAAAAATTATATAATATAGGCAAGTAATCGCTGATTTAGTAATGATAAAAATGTCTTACTTATTTTTTAGACAATGAGCTAGCAATGAATTGCATTAAGAATATAGTCATTAGTCATTCAGAAAATATATCAAAAAATTAGTTACTTATGCCATTAGTTCACGCAGAACGCAACCTCTCATTGCGTTTAATAACTTATTTTTGAGTACTCGAAGATAATAAAACCACTGCATGGTAATGAGACAATAGTATACATGACTTCGATTACTGATAGGTATGTACTCCTGCGAAGTTGTCAAAATGATAAAGCCAACTAGTTTTGGTGGCTGCGATAGTTATTTCCAACTCGGTCATTTTAAAAGCAGGTATGAATAAACCCGATTCCAAATGTTTACTGCCGCAGGATTCCGTTATTGATAAGTCACATTCAATAAATTTTGACACAACTAGTACGCTATTTAGAATCAGTATGGCGAAGACCAATTAATAAACAAAGAATACCGTCATATCAAACTGGGTAGATTGTGATCATAAAAATAAAATAATCCCTAATTTTTAGCTTTTGCCAATAGAAATATATTCAATTGTGAAACCTAAAACTTTGAAATGGCAATTCAAAAACTAACTATGATAACTATACTATAACTCAAAATTAAATAGGTCAGAACTTATTAGTAATAATATGATAAAAAAAATGACACCGAATCATACCTCACCATATGATTATTTTTCTTTGGAAGTGGCAAATCTGTTGGTTCAAAATCACTGCCATAAAATAGAATAGTTTGCAATGTATCTTGCTCTATCATATCACGGTGATGTGTTGAATGACATTTGACTTCACCACAATCAATTTCCTGAACTGAACCTCCGTTATCTGAATCATTTTGAATATAAGCGTCAGAAATGAAAAAACATGAAAGAAGAGATAACACAACTAAAAATAGTTGGCGCAACACGAATCTAATATTCGGGTATTGTTATGTTTTTCTGCTAAACTATCTTGCTGATACTGTAAAGCAACATGCTAGCATACCCATATTTATCAGTGGGACAATAAGATCAAGTTCAAAAGGCAATTTGGAGATCAGAGATTTGATATCTGATTAGGCCGATCCATAATGTGATAAACCACGTAGATCAGGGTTTCCCAAACTTTTTAGGTTGCGTACCCCCGTTTGTGAATCCTATTTTTGACAGACCCCCATCCCATGCCGTATCAATTTCTGTGCCTAACTAATGAGGAAGGATAACGTTTCCTTTGATGTAATAAAACTCATGAAAGTCTGAATCAATACATTCTGAGTTAAATACTGGTAGGCTGACGGCAATTTGATAAGATTGTGATCTATTTGCATATATGTTTCAGACTCTTTTCAAATCGTTACGGAACCCTTGTGCAGAACCCTTTGGGAAACCCTGACATAGATGATGATATAGTTTCTGATTTTAAATACAAAATCATTTTTAAAATGGCCAGTGGATCAATCTATACTAATCTTGGAATGGTAGGTTAAATATTTCAGATATGAGTAAGAATAACCAACCATCTGCCTCCTAATACCTCTTCACAATTCTTTGGAAGCCAGTGGTTTTTCAGAACAATTCCATGTAGTGTAATCTTACACATATGTAACTTAAACTGTTGGACAAAAACCTCACAAAAATATTGCATATGTTACCTATTTTTAAAATAAATATAAAAAATCTCACCAACATGAGGAAATATTGTGTCATACCACCACACAATTAATGGCCATTCATTAATATTAACATCAGACCTTTGAAAAGAATTCATGGCCACAGCAGTGGTTAACATGACAAGTATCTGGAAAATAAATACCGATAAAAATCATGAAATTGCAAATAAATTGACTGCTCAGAGAGATGGGGCTTCTCAACCCTGCCTGATTCATATTCTTTAGGCATGAGTCTACCGAATATTGATTTCAGAAACAGGACAAATTAAATACACCATGTTCTGGAATAAGGATATTCTTAAGATTTTTAAAATTAGATTGATAGTAAATTTTAAGAAAACCCAACCAATTTACAGTGATTTAAGCAAATTTCTCTGTTGAAGTTACACACGATGGTGGTAAATTATTTAAATTTTGCCATCCACGATTACATGTATTTAACATAGTATGAATACCAGTGGTAGCTTGTCCTGAGCCTTATTCGAAGTAACCGTTGGGAAACACAAGATAACAAAGGAAGATTTTAGATCAAGTGTGTAAATGGAAATATACACTCGCAAATTACACTAACCATAATGAAATTACTGAGAAAAAATATCAGCTTACTTTATATATAAAGTTTTGCATTGTGTTCACAATGAAAAGTTAAATCAATCTTTCTTGATAATAAATAACAATACCTAACTATGCAACTTGATGCAATTCATTTTTATTCAAACATCCTAGAAAATATCACAAATTCAATATATTTACTGTACATATCATTTGATGATAAGTAATGTCATCTGAAAAATTTGGACTATAAATTAGTAGCTTATAGAGAGAGAGAGAGATTTATCATTTGTCAACCAGAAAAAAACATAAATACAATGATAATAATAAATATAAAGCAATAACATTTCTTCGGTATGGAATGGAGGAAGCGAAACGACCATGCGGTCATCAAGAGTCAGCTGCCACCATGTTCGCACCAATTAAAATAAGTTCACAGTAAAAATATTTATTATAATAAAGCGGTTATAAATTCTAGAATTCTGCATCTTGAGAAAAAAAGGAATCTCGACCAAGAGTTTAGCCTGTTCTTAAATGAAAATGTTTATTTAGAATTTGAATACAAACAAAAGTTGACAATATTAGATTTTCTGGGCATCCCTCAATGCCACATTTGGACTATAGTTTGCATAGCCAGGTGACAATGATATATAGTCTTCAATTTAATACTTAACAAAGTCTACCAGTGAGACGATTTGCATTACACTGCATTGGCCAACTTAGAAATAGATGTTTTTTATTTCAATATAAACGACAAGAATAAGGTCTAGCGAAGTAAGTGCAGTAATTTTTATGATTTAAAATAGTCTGTTTTTGACAGACTTGTTTAGTTGAAATTAAATCTATTCAATTCCAACTAAGCAAGTACGTCCCATGCCAAATAGAGTACAGCGTTCCGCTTCCGCGCAGGCCAGACTTTTATTTAAAAAGAAAAACATATTTAGCCTCCACTCTCACATCACAATTTTGTTTGATGTTACATAAGAAAGTTTGGCGTTAACTTCGCTAGACCCCAAAAAATAAATTACAAGTAGATAATAGTTGATCAATAAAAGCAAAGAAAGATATGAGAAACAACAAACGAATTGAAAAAGTTATTGCTCGATCTTGTACACATATTGTATTTATCTCACTCTATAACCAAATAGCCTAGTAGTAGGTTTATATATAAGTTGAGCTGAATTAAGATACGACGAAGATTCATCATATGTACATACAATATATTTAACATTATGACCTTCTTTACTCCAATTCCTGGTAGCCAGATGGACCAGACAGTAAGAGGTAGACATTTAAAATTAAAATACAAGTACAAATGAGAAATAATCCTGAAAGATGGTAAATATTACCAAACTTTGGCAAGTAACTTCACTCTGAGACTTTCAAGAATATTTTTGAATATTAGTCAGAAAACCAGATTTTAGGTCAGCAATGTAATAAAGAAATCTAACTTCTGAACTTAGTTAAAATTTCAATCAAGCGAAAATGCTATAGATTTGACAACAACTTTTGTAATTTTCCAGTTTCATGAAGTTTTTCAACTTCAGTACCTCCACCTACAAACTCTTTATTGATAAATACTTGAGGCACAGTTGATTCACCAGTTAAAACTGTGAGTTCGTTCTGTATAAGATGGCCGTCATCTCGCTCATCCAACTCGATAACTGCTTTTCCTGATGCTCCAGCTTGATTTAAAACATTTTTTGCAAGTTTACAATACGGACAATATGATTTAGAAAACACAGCTACTTTGTTGCTCCCAATTAATGACTGGATCAGTTTGGCTGAGGCATTCGCCATATTTGTCGCAGACTTTAATAATGAATAAATTTATTTAATTTTCTGAAAATATTGAACCCGAGAAATATTACAGTATTAAGAAAGTGTACAACGGTACCTACTGATATTGCACGACAGCACGAGGCTATGATAAATGTCTTTCTTTTATTTTTATTGAACAGCGAATCCCACATGTTTTTTTTTTCGATTGATCAAATTAAAATTTGATTAGTTCCCATCCAAATTTGATGATTAGATCCCATTTCAAGAAAATAAACATTTGCATAGAAAAAATAGGAAAACAAAATTTTATAGATCCACGATAAGAAGAACATAATTATACAAACAAAAACATATTACCCAACCCCCATTTTGAATCATTAGTCCAATTGATTGATTGATTTTGATATTCCAGTTCAATTTTGATATTCCAAGTCAAATTGTCCATTTCGATTTTCCATGTTGGTATTTGTAATATACCGTTTAATTAAAGATTAGATTTATTTTAGTTTATGGATTAGGCATGTAAACAAAACATTTTAAAATTAATACACATAATACTCTACTCATATAGTTTACCGCATGCAAACAAATGCCAATGCGCCGATACATGACAGCATGAAGTAGGCTATATCTGTATACAGGTATACCGGTATACACCTGAATAGAAACATTTTCCAGCATATCTGAGTTTTCAACAATAAGGTTTATTGAATATGAAATCAAGAGATCTGCAATACAGTATTCTATATGTTCGATTTGTTACAATTATAGCATAACAGATTTATGTATCATATCATCCATGTGTTCAAAGAAAAGTAATTCCTCTCTTTGAGCACTGGTCATCTGGTTCAAAGTCCCAATTAATTTGCACTTGAACAGTATTCTCATACTTCTTTTGAATATGTCACTTTCATCATATTTGACAGAATTTCTATGTGTCCAAATAGCATATTTACCAATGTCTCCTCGCTGACGCTATGCACAAACGGCCGTCGACCAACTTGCCTACTAAAGGACTTTGGTTGAACAAGTTCATGGACGCCATCTTGTGCCCTATTTGAGAAACGCGAAACAATGGAGTCTTATGGGAAATTTTCGTCGTGTTGTTGACTTGTTGTACCGAATCGAATAAGACAGCTGTTATGAGGGCTAGAATGAAGCCGAAGGGTGGATTTTGAACATCAAGCTATATGCTACCTATATATAACGCAATTAAGAATATGTATACGCTTGCATATATAGTATGCGTACACAAGAAAGCACGCACCTTCACCGCTGCGTCTCTTATCTCGCTTGGATACATCCTGAATGGATAAAATTCAGTCTTATCGGCAAGGGGTGCTCAGATTGCGCGGGCCATGGGAAATCTTATATAGAACGGAGAGAAAAAACGAGAAACGGGCTTAATCATATCGTGCTTGACCACAATTAACCAGTTATTAGTTTGGGAAGCGTGGACTTGTTGACGGAAGAAGCTTTAACAGTCCGACGTGACCACCACCCATCGACCGCGAGGACTGTCACTACACTTTCAGAGGTGCATTGGCGTTTTGGCAAGGGTCTTCCGGACTCTGGGCACGATTCGCCCAACCCCAACAGTCAGCCATCACAAAAATGCGTTTCAGTACAAAGTATATAAACGTTTTGAACGTCGGAATATTAATGTATCTTCAATTTCATTGATAACATATCCAGCGTCTGTGGAATATCACAACCGGTATTTTTGATCTAATTGGAAGAAAGTCCAAAATTTATTTCCTCCAGACTTATTTTTTAAATACTCCTATACGCCATATTTTGCACGATGCTTTCCTCCGCCATCGATCAGACTGTAATGGCGAGCTGCTCAAGTTATTCTCTGGTGCACTATCACCATCCTAGGGACTCGAACACCACACCAGCACGAAAGGTGATCCGATGTGTCATGCCTACTGAATCGGGAGAAATTTTATCCACCACAAGCCTTACAATTTATTAGATAAGTAGAACGGCATAACCACAATATACACAACGTCCATGAGCTTGTCAGCTTGTTCCTGCCTCCATGATAAAAAGGTTTATTAAGTTTAGGCGACTGGCTATCCCCTGCTCCACTGACTGAATAGCAAGTTCACTTGCAAATTAACGTAAAAATTTCATTGAGACTGTCATGTTGTAAATCTGAAAAGATAACTCAACTCGTGCCAAAATTCCTGGTAGTCCATAAATTTCACTTCAACATACCGAGCAATACAAAGGATTGTAATGTGAATGGAACAAAAATATCACATTTGTGAATAGAAGAAAAGATCCCATGACAAAACAACAGAATAAAGTTTTTGTACAGCCAAGGAGAATAAAATCCTGAAAGAAATTTACCAGCGAACCTGCCAAAGAGTATGATGATATATACATATATGTGAAACACTACTAAATTTGGCAGATAATTTTTTTTAAAAAAGCTTTCAACATTTAAAATTTATGAACGTTTCAAGACTTACTAACTAATGGGGCAGATGACAAATGGGCAAAAATAATTTGAAACTGTGACATTAGTTAACCATGAAATCTACATGTAGAAGACAGTGAAAAATTGTATTCAGAAAGTTGCAGCAACACATTCAATCCACAACAAACATTATCTTTTAAAATTGCGCCAAAAGATTCTTAATTGTATGGACATCCAACCCAACGGGTTAGTTTGATCAGACTAACACATCACACTTTTGTAAAAAGAAATGGAAAAAACAAGAAAACTAACAAAAGATGGCTAAACTGTGGCACTTAATATTGATGTATCCCAGAAGTTTCCAAGCTGTACAATAACCAACATTCTAAAAACGGTGGTCAGACAGAAAATTTCAAAAGAATGCACATATAACAACATGGAACATATCATCCAGCTATTATCGCTAATTGGAAACTGAATCACCGGCGATCTCTTTGCTTGGGGTTAAATTCCCACTCTGGGTCAGCATAATCATCAACAAGATGTCCAGCGTCATCATATGAAGTTAACGTGTCATCAGAAGAGGGAGAGTCAGTGTCAGAATCTGAAGATGAATCATCAGTTTCTGAGAGTCTGGTATGTATGTAATTGTGTTTAGCTTTCAGAGTTCTTGATGACACAGCTGTTCGTCGTAAACCATTTTCATTTCGTTGTGATGACGTGTGATTTCGGCTACGATGTCCAGTCTTTCGGCTGTAAAAATAATCAGAATTAGCAAACAGGTCCAAATGTAAGCTGATCATGATTTCAAATATATTCCTTTACTTGTAAATTAGATTGTAAGCAAGTAACAAGTCTCAGACTAACAAGACTTAGATTTTATAACATCATGAAAGAGGCATCTCTTAGTGAAACACTAGAGTAATTCACGAACTTACCGCCGAGCAGTCGATGAAGCAGAAGCTGTTGAAGCATCACTATGCCTCGCTCCATCATCAACATCATGAGATGCAAGAGAAGAAGCTCGAGAATCAGTTCTTCTTCGTTTCATTGACTTGTGATTGTGATCCCGAACAGCCTCGTGTGACAATGTTGTGTGATCAAATGTTGACGACTGGTGAGCTTTATCACTACTGCTGTGCCTGGTGATGAGTTGTCGTTTATCGTTTTCCTGACAAGAAACTACATTGGAATGACCTGCATCACCATTCCAACCTTCGCTTTGAAGTTTCTGCAGAGCAAAGTCTATATCACTCAGCATTCTAATATCTTCCTCTATCAGAGGGAATGGTCTTTTCTCCCATGCCTGGGCACCCTCGGACAGAAGCTTAGAGTTGGCTCCTTCAGATAGAGTTCGGTTTACTGACAATGCATGTTCATGAGAGTTCCTGCGAGGCCCAAAACCATCTTGCCAGCCAGACAGAATGGGAGAGGAATAGCTATGACTGAGTGAGGTATCATTGTTCCCTTGTGTTGTCAAGACGGTGCTCGACAGCGGGGTGGATGGTCGACTTGGATTGTGATCAGTTGACATTCTTCTGGTAGTAACTCCGACTAAAGGTAAAAAATTAATAAATAAAAAAAACAGTTTGCAAATATCCTGAAAAAAAATAATGCAAATGGTTTTCAATAATAACTTATTCTAAAGAAAAACATACCTGGCTTAGCTGAGGGACTGAGCGGATTAGCAGGCGATGGAAGATATGCCGAACCTGTCACATTTGAAGAAAATTGCTCAGAAGAAAAAGACATTGGACTTGCATCCTGACCTGCAGATGTAGGGGAGTTTGGTTCATCCTCACCAGGTCCACGAATGTTACTCATTCTTGATCCTCTGTAGAGAAAAAAAAGTTTAGGATGTCTGCATTAAAAAAACTCAAAGGCTGGAAGAAGGGTTAGAAATAGAATATTTTAAATAGATATTAGGCTTTTTCCTTATAGATAGGATCCTTTTCTAGATAACTTGAATAAGCAGATAAATTGGACTTCCAATGATTAGCAATAATTTGCTATGAATGCAGTTATGACAAAATTGACAAGCAAAAACAAGATACAACATATTATGATGATAAACTCATTTCGAGACAGCAACAGTTTCAACATTGTAAGATGAGCCAATGGTACTGATTTCATTCAATTTTGAATCATAAAAACAAAAACACGGAATCACTTTGTTTTGTGTGATGAACATAAAAAAATTGTTACAATCACAAAATGTAGTGAACCCACCTTCCCTTCCTTGAAATACTCCATTCCATGTATGCCATGTACTTCTTCTTCTCAACTATCTCATGATTGTCATGTCTTCGTTGGAATGCCGAATGAGATATATCTTCATATTCTTCATCTGGGTAAAGTAGAAAATATCAAATAAAGATAAGTTGTCGTTTGAAGTTTCTCTCATGGCTCCAGAAAGATTATTTGGCGCTCCAAAATTGTGTGTACCAATATGATGGTAACTAATTTTGGTCACCTACTTTACATCAAGTTCTGTGAAGGGACTGAAGCCTAAGGGCAGGGGCTAACACACAGTCCCCGAACTCTTAATATAACTAAAATCAGAATTTTTGGCGCTCCAAAATTGTGTGTACCAATATGGTGGTAACTAATTTTGGTCACCTACTTTACATCAAGTTCTGTGAAGGGACTGAAGCCTGAGGGCAGGGGGTATATTCACTTGGCTAACACACAGTCCCCGAACTCTTAATATAACTAAAATAAGAATGAAATCGAATTAAAATATGACCTAACCCTAACCTGGTTCCCAACTACGGTAGTACCGATCATTTTATATATACATAAAAAATAAATAGACAAATTTCTATACCATGATTCATTGACAAATTGACTCCAACTTCTTGCTCCAAGGGACTGAATTCCAGAACTTTCCAGCTTGGTGTTTGAATTTCTTTATAAGCTAATTTTTCAATCCTCGCTGAGTTCAAACCGTGAGGAATAACAATATTATTTATATCAAATGCTTGTTCTGAAGATTTCTTTTTCTTCCAGTATGTATTCTGAAGACAACATATTAATACATTATGGAATGTGTTTACTAACAAATATGCAGGCAATAGGGGTGGGTTAAAGGTTATTTAGAATAATAAATTACCAAATATTCATTTGAATGAGAATATCAATATACAAAAATCAATCATATGTCGAATTATTCAATATTAGCATTATAATTTATTTACCAAAAAGAAAATTATCAATTACCATGAATACATATTTGTGCAATACGGTAACAAAACCTTTTTAGAGTTGAAATTTATTTTATTTCAATATTTGAAAATGAGCGCAATGCTCAAATATATGCACACAAAGGTCTAATGACTGATGTGACCACATTAATGTCAGAAAAATTACAGCTTAAAGGTTAAAAGAATTGTACTTGATGTCATATGTACTGCTAAAAGACTTGCACCAATAAAATAAACAGCAAGATTTGGAAAATCAATGTTTTTTCCCCAACAACAAAAACTTTGCAAAACAATTAACTCACAGCCACACTTCGTGTCAAATATTAACATACTCTTAAAACCTGGCGTTAACTCACATGGCTTGGTCCAAAGTCTGTTGGGGTGGCAGCACCACTACTTGATCTGGATGGCTGATGTGTATTGAATCCACCAATAACAACAGGTGATTCCATATCAGAGTCAAACGATTGCCCCCTCATTCGTTTTTTACTTGTGTCTGACATGTGACTGAGCTTCCTTCTTTTCACATCAGATGAATCATCCAAATGATTGGGGGGCAGCATAGAATTAGATCTGTAAAAGAAAGGATAATTTGTAACTCCTACATTGCTTACTGAATTAATTTTTCTCAAATCTATAGTACTTCTCATAGGCATACCAACTTGGAAAAGATTGTCAATTTAATAATTTTAATATGATATACCAAACATACAAATAGGGATGCCACTTTTGGATTTACGAATCGGATCGATTCGAATCGCATCTTTTCCGGATCGATTCGAATCAGATTTACGCGATTCGGAAAAAGAGAGCGATTTAGCGAAAAAAAAAACATTGAACATTTGTTAAATCGTCGTTTTCGGCGGCTTTAAATCTGCCAGAGTGTGTTTATGCGGCACTCCAAATAACGCCAAATTACGGGACCGAAAAAAAAAACATTGAACGTGTGTTAATCGTTGTTTTCGGCGGCGTTAAAACTACCGAATGCGTTTATGCAGCACTCCAAATAACACCAAATTACGGGACCGAGAGAAAAACATTGAACATTTGTTAATCGTTGTTTTCGGTGGCGTTAAAACTGCCGAATGCATTTATGCGGCACTCCAAATAGCAACAAATTACGGGACGTAAATAAATGAAAATGAATTTTTCGTGATTGACTTTTTTACTTGTCTGCCCTCATTTGTTTCAAGTTCGACACAACACACTCTTTTACGCATCACTCGAGATGATGTGTGGCGTAATTACCAGCAAACTGCGAGTTCAGTTTTCCACTAAATAGCCGAAGTTTCCATTACGCGCGAATTTAAATGGATCGTATACCTGAAAATTCGTGACAATTTTGATGAAAATTTTCAACAGCACACCTGCGCTGCGACTGCGACTAAGTTATTGTACGCCCTGGCATGATTGGATAAAGAATCGGCCACCGACGTCTAGATAATGTTTAATTTTGATTGAAATTTAATTTAAACTTTGTTCTGAGAGCAATATTTTGCGTACATTTGAAGAGAACTATTACTGAATGAGTTCATCGGCCGGCAATGTTAATTGACAATCATGTTTCTCATCCTAAAATATATATTTATTTTGTTTGCGTTTGTCAGGCTTCCACTCGAGTGGCGGTAAACGAAATCAGGGGGACATAATGTAATAGTACATACACGTCTTTTTTCAGCTGTTACAAAAAAAAGTAGTATTTACTTTTAATTTTGTTAGCGCGATACAAGCGAATAAAACATTTCGGATTATTTCGAGCAAATGTCATAACGGACAAGTGGGAGTAAATAATACTTGAGGAATGGCAACTTGTGCACTGTTTTACATCAACACGTGGCAGATTTCATACCAGACCGAGCATACTGTGCGAATGTCGTCTTACTTTAGCCCCAGCGACCATGTCCGATCAAGATAAAGCGTCAACCAATTATCGCTCGTCAGCGCGGCGTCCATTATGCACATTTGGACTTTCTGAACTACGAAATTAAACGTAGTCCACATTAATAATGAAGCCCGAGTTAGCCAATAACGCTGTTAGCCACAAATAATACTTTCTCTAATATTTATGGAAATTTTTGTTCGCAATCGTAGTCGGATGAACGATTGTTTTTATCGAATTTAATTTAATCGTGGTTAATTTTATCGTCTTCAATCATATTCTTGTAAGCATTTCCCATTTATAGTAATTCAGATGCAATTAGAATGTTTTTGTCGTATTACTCTATGCTGCTAGTATAAATATAAAATATTGTACTAAGATTTTGAAGATAAAGAATCGGTAATAAGGCCGGCCTCAATTCAATATAACAAGAAGGGAAATACCACGGTCACATATACAGGTGTGGGACAAGGAAAAGCAGTGCTGTTACTGTGTTTACGACATAACAGTACAACTGTTCCCTGCTTATTTTCTCATATGAATTCCATCAAATTGCCTCAGCCCTGATACAAGTATAACACAATAACTCAGTATTGTAAGACTCACAGATAAGTTGCAACAGCAAGTTTTTCATCAATGCATTTATTAGTGATATCTATGACCTACATCTTTTTTATCATGATGAAAATAAGTGTGGCTTATTCACTGAAAAACCCTTATCATCCTTGCTATATAGCCTATTCCATTTTCAAATTTTTTTCTTCTAGATTTGAGCTTTTTTGTGACTTTGGGCAAACATACGCATGTAATAAAAAAAAAGCTTAATGGAATCAGATTCGGAAAGATTCGATTCGAAAAGTTTTGATTCGAGATTCGATTCGAAAAAAAATGTATCCAGAAGTGGCAACCCTACATACAAAACTTAAAATTGTTGTATTGAGTGGTTCATAAACAACAGTTGGTATCTTTTGATAGCCAAGTCTGCCATTAGATGTCCTTGAGTTTTGCTACAGTAATAATGCAGTCAGTGCACACCGATACAAAGAACAATTGTGCAGCCAGGGAAAGTGCATTTTTGTATTTTATTTTGACTCCCTGTATTAAAGGTTGCACACCCCTGTCCTAGCACATAGGCAGAGATAAAGGAGCATTAGTTATGAACACACTACTCAATCTTATATGCTTATAATTATAACTAATATTTTTTTTAAATGGTTTCAAAACCAGGAGTTAACCTTTCTCGTTTTTTTGCAGATTTGTGTTTCAACTTTTTGTTACGTTTTTTCTGTTTCTTTGATTCCTTTCTTTCAGCTCTTCTAAAAATAACAATAAAAAAACACTTAAAATCAATAAATTTGCAGCAAAATTAAAAGAAAATCTTAGAAGATGCATGAAACTTACAGTGATGCAGATCTACTGTATGATCCAGACTTTTTGCACCATTTACGTTTCGACTTCATAACCGCAAGCATTGATATGGAAAGTGGAATATCTGGGAAATATAACACTGATTATAAAAACTAGAATATCAAATACTAATATTATCAATTATGCTTAACTAAATGCAAGGACTTGAGCATGTTACATAGTTTCTGATCTGAACAAGTTTCCAAGAAATGGAGCATGAAATAAATTTTAGTACCATGTCCATACGAAAGATTATTTATATCCAACTGCATTCTGATTAGGAAAACAATTCACATTTGCTTACTGAGATATTGGTAATATAAATTTGACATAAATCAAGACTTCACTAAATAATGGCAAAATAACTACTTGGAAAACTATGATCGAAAACTGGGATATAACTGAAACAGCATTATATGGTCATGACCATTCTATGTTTATATGATTAAATAAAAAAGAATATAATTCTGAACTTTCTAATTTTGGGTTTCACACTCATTTGGCTATATTTTTTTGACTGTACATTAGACAGGTAATTCATATTACCGGTAGGTGTCTAATGTACAGTCAGAAAATATAGCTAAAATGAAAGTTCAGAAATACTAAACTCAGAAATACTAAACATTTCTATTGCTGTCAATTGCATAGGTTTTATAAATTCCCACGTTCCCTAGTTTTGCAACAATGGTATATTATCAACCAAACACACCTTTCACAGATGATATGACCGTGTGATATGAATGATCATGTTGTGCTGCTTTTAGAATAATTGATCCAAAGTCTTCCTTTCTTTGCCCAGATGTGTCTCCAGCAATGCACATTATGGAACTGTCGTTTGGAACAGTTTTTGGTTTTAAAGGCTAAAAATATTATATGGTTCAGTAATATTAAATAGACCTGTGGTTCTCAATCTCTTTCAATAAATTCCTCGCTATTTTCGGACTCTCAATTCTTCCCTCACTTTGTATAAATAACTGTTTCCGTTATTGATTTAATATTTAGAAGATCCTTAGTTATTGATACACAAGACCGTCGTTTGTGCAATTTAAATGGTTTATAATGTGTTAGAAAATATTTATCACAATCCTACTAATTAATTAAATAATATTAGTAAAACTACACAAAATTCAAAGTAATATTTTCTCCCCCAAACCTGAAGAGTAATTCGCCCTCGGTTGGGAAACTGCTGGAGTAGACATTGATATCAAAATAATACATGCAAAAAGCAATTTTCATACCTTATTAGAAACTAGGCATGCTGGAGACAGTTTTATCAATTTCCTGTTCTTGAAAGCCGTCAGACAAAGCTGCCTTGTGCGAGCTGAGGAATTGAGGAAGTCTTCATAGCGAGAAGCAACGTTTGATTTCTGATCATCTGTTTCTGAACTGTTGAAACAAATATAACACAAATGAATTGCAAAATAAAAGTTAATGATAGATGCAAATGTTTGAACCATGTAGTACACAGTAACATACTCACATTTTTATTGCCGTTTGATTTGGAGATGGTGATCCCCCAGACAATGGTGACAAGTTGTCAAGCAATCTGAAACAAATGATAACATGCTAGTTAATCATTACATTTTAGGACAAATGGTGATGGTATGTGATATCCATGATTGGTGTTGAATTAGTTATAGTATATACCAGGGTTACATATTTAAAAAGTTAAACAGGTCATTTCATATAATGTATTTGGCGCTCCTGAAGTAGGTGTACCAATATGGAGCCAACTAATATACCAACTAATTTTGTTCGCCTATTTTACATCAAGTTGGGTAAAGAAACTGAAACATATGAGCAAGGGGATATTCACTTGGCTAACATGGACGGTTCCGGCACTCATAATAAAACTAAAATAAGAAAAATCGTAATAAAATTATGGGTCAAACCTAACCTGGTACACATCCTACAGGAGTACCATGTATTTAATGCAAATTCTTGCTCTGAACCAGATTAAAACTGAATTGCATCCGCATTTAGTAGACCACCAGTTAACGGTTCAAACCTAGCATTATTACTCATTTCACTTCCATTGTACCAAACAACTTCCAATCCAATTAACCAACCAATAAATGTAAATTTGATAACAAAAACAGGAGTCTCACATCAATATCGTTAATTGAGTAACATACACAAAAACCAAATCCAATTTACCAAAATAAATTTCACAATCAGAAAAGATTTCATACCTAGTTGACTGCTGAACATTGTTTAGCAACTGGTTGACACTGCAAGGTGGTGTGAAATCCGGCATTATTCTATCATCAGACCTTTGTTTATTCTGTGATAGGAAAAGTCCAGTTAGCAAATATGCTCGATAATGGAAATTATTGTCATTGGAAAATATAAAAAATTACCATCATATTAACTGGCGGTGTTTGACCCAAAATTGTACCGGAATGTATTCCAGTAGAGTAAACGTTGAAAACAGGTGGGGGAGGTAATTCTAGCTGCACAAGCCCCTGTAACATGAAATTCATTGATGACAAACAGTTTTTAATATAAAAATATTATTTCAAAAGGTATTTTAAGAATTCACATATAATAAACAAACCTTCGCGTCCCTAAGCTGTGTATATAAATCTCCTTGTTGGCGAATGCTGAATTCCAAAGAAGATATTCGTGACTGCAGCCAAGTCCACCTTCGTGATATTTCAGCCCTTTCAGCTACCCACTTGCAGAATGATTTCCGAACCCTAGAAAACAAAAACCATTTTCATTTTTGTATACTAGTCTATAACCCGAAAAACAAACCATCATTAACTTACTTTTTGGTTTGCTTGAAACCCTCCTTGGTTTCTTGTTTCGTTTTCTTATATTGTGAAGCTTCGTATACATCCTCATCAGAGCTACTATCAGTTACATCAGGATCGACGTGTGATCGAATATATTTCAACTCTTTCCGCAAAATCCCTGAAATCAAAAACAATTGAGATTATTGATGGAACTTGGTAGGAAGTTGGTTTGAAATAAACTTACACATGTTTGGATATTTTATATAAAGTTTACAATTAAATATCAAAGAAAACATTGCTCAAAATCTCATAATAAGTCAGAGCAACTCACCTGACAATAACTGTAATGATATAATATGAGAATATCCTGAATACTAATTACTGCAATTTTATATATATTAAAAGCAGGAATCAGGTTAAATTTGGGCATGAATATTTCTGCTTTTCCATACTAATTTCAAAAATGAAATAATGAAAGGATTTATAAAACATAAAAGTGTATTATGTATAATCGCAAAGAAAAAAACCTAGTCAAACAAAGTGTGCCATAAGCAGTTTAGAAAAGATAATCAGATTCTTACCGGAACCAGCCTTAGCTTGCTTGATATTTTCAATCCTTTTGTTCATGTCAGATACAGTTTGTTCCACTCTTGTTAGTTGTACAATAGGATCCAAATCCATCGCACAAATATCTGGCACAACTTTTTGTTCGTCTGTATTTAGCTCCTTTTTTACAGAGGAACCAGAAATCCTTCTTACACTTTCACAAAGTTTTGCAGTGCCTTTTGTTTCAATATTAGACTGGCTTTTTCCAAGTAATTTATTCCAAAAGTTTAAACCTGACTCAGTAGACTCCGTTAAAACAGTGTGATTATAACCCGTTGTGCTTACGGTATCACAAGACCTGGATGATGTTTGTATGTGCAATGATATATTACCTAAGTCTTTCTTGATATGAGAAGTTACATCTTGCAATCGAAGACAATCAATTTTATTTTTCAGGCAGTGGAGTTTTTTATCTAAATTTAAACTGTTTTCAACAGCAGTTTTTATTTTGACTTGGATACGAGCTTCTTGCTCTTTTGCTGCCATCGCTTTCTCATTCGGTGTAATTGTTTCATTCGTTGAGAAATCCAGGCTTTTAACAGATCGGTGCAATGGTTCCTGAAAATTAGAAGTCACAGTGTGGGTAATATCGGATTCCATTTTTTCTACACCTGTATCTGCTTGTAGCTGCATACTAGTTCCTTTTAGCGATGCAGCTAATTCTTGCAAAGTATGTGCGAGTTTTTGTGACATGTTAATTTTAGATAAGTCACTGTTCAACAAATCTGTGTATTTTAATTCCTGTGTTAACTGAGGCATAGAGTCTGAAGTGGCCTGATTACTCTCCTGTGACACAAGTGTTGGTGATTTGCTAACTTCTGCCATCAGAATGTTAGTATCTGCTTCAACATTTTTTGCCAGTTCCTCAGGCATATTTGTACAGTTTTCTGTATTGTTCGTATTCATGCTGTCTTCATATTTTGTATAAAAGTCACTAGAGGTTGAAGATGTATTTGTGATTGGTGCTACTGTGCTATAAGTAACCATGGTTGCAACTGGTGAAATAAGTGGTGGTATAGTTGCAAGCTTAGACTGTAGCACCGAGTTTTGTGGTAGCAATAAATTGTGATTCATTTGAGCTGTTTTTATTTTACCATTTGGGTGGTTTTCACTTTCATCTCCACTTGTATGGTTATTAATATTATCACCTAATGCCACTAAACTTTCATCATGGGTAGTTTTATTAGTTTTGTGTGTTTTAACTCCCATTTCATGATTATTGCAGGAAACATTGTTTTCTTGTAAGATACCCCCAGCACGCTTCTTGCAATCCCCCCAACCATTATGATTGATACTGTTCACGAGCACTCCATCTCCCTGTCCAAGATGCACAGAAGACAAAGATACTACAGGGAGAGAATCCTTAAGTCCAGTTAAAATGCAGGGTTCTGTTACAATCATATCGGAACCTGTGTGTAAACAAAAGACAAAAATAAATTACTCAATGATGAGTCTTTTGGGTAACCTATAATTCAAAATTTGTATGAAACTATGCTATTTCCATATTGTATATTACTTGGAAGCAAAACCAACTAAGTTATGAAGGTACAGAATGGCATTAAAATAGTGTATATACAGGTAAGATATTACAGGATGAACACAGGCCCAAAGATGCGGATCTCATTCAAGTCAAAGTAGAAGAACTTTTTTAAATCATGTATTTTAATTGTCAATCAATAAACATCTGAATGTTGTTTATCAGAATTAGTTCCTATACAATTACCTTGTTTTGATAATACAGATTGTGTAAAAATTCTACAGATGGAGATAACTATGTTGTAACAACTTCATCATTTTTTAAATAAACTTTGTCATTAATCATTTTACAGTGATTTTTTACTCCTTAGTGGAGAATAGATATGATTATTTGACAGGATATTGGCAACAAGTTGTATTATAGAGATGGGTGAGTAGATGATTCAACTAAACCAGCATCTGTGTATTCACTATATATTTGCAGCACATTTAAAATATCTTTATTGTATAAGGTACTCAAAATAATCTTTCACAAACATTAACATATGATTGAAGTATTAACAACATAGCTGGTTTTAATTAAAACTACATTCAAAAAAGACTGTGACAATTGAAACAATTCAAGAAGACAATAATAACAACTTTTTCAATTTTGAAGATTTTATTTGAGAATGCTTTACCACACATTTCCTGGTGTTGCAAGGGATAACGGTGGCTGCTGGTTACAATGTCCTAAATCTATTTTCATGCTACTAATAAGACCATATAACCCATACCTTCTACAATTGCTTTGCTGATTGTGGAGTCCTCACATGCATCTGCCAATAAATGAGGTTCTTCTGGACACTTCAAAGGATTCTCGATTCTTGCAGGGATTTTATTAAAAGCAGTCCCGTTAACCTTCAGTACATGACAATAAAGACAGGATAAGTGAGCGTATTAGATTGTGTTAATATGTATACGGTCATTTAAAATCTGAAAATGGTCATGTTCTAACTGGTGATAACATACAAACGAATCCACAAAAATTATTAACATTTTGACCATCCACTATTGCAGGAGGAATCATATAACTACACTACACCCAGTGGCGCAACCAGCGGGGGGGTTACGGGGGTCGTGTCCACCCCGTTTGAAATTCGTTTTTTTTTTTATTATCGTTCTACCTTCAAACAACGTCGTTCCACGGTCATGACAATCCGGTGAAAACTACTTTTTTCCAGTGCTTTATCACCTCGACGTAATTTAACACCGCCCGACTTCAATCATACCTTTTTGCTGTTAGTTACGTAACAATCGCTATCCCCGCGTATATGTTTGTATTCGAAAATGAGATATGTTACCTCAAAAAGGTAGAAATCGCGCGCTGTCGATGCGCATTGAAAGCGACAATAGCATAATGCTATCTCTCTCTCTCTTGTGACGAATACTCTCGTGCTTCATCATCTTGACGCAATGTAACGCCGCCCGTCTTCATGTTATAATAATGCAGTAGTAACTCTCAAAATCTGGATACGAAAATTATTTTCGGAAAAATATTGCTTCGATTAATCTAAGATTTTCTACATATGAAAAACCGAAAACGCCGTACACATCCTACCGCCCCAGTCCACGTTCTGATTTAAAAACATTTCACAAATATTTCATTTTTTATCGCAATCGAAAGCAGTCATGTGTGGCACGGCAATAACTAACAGTCGTCGTGAAAGGTTTTCAATAAACTCCGACTTGAAGTGCTTATAAGACGTCGAGGACGTTTTTGATTGAAAATTTTTTACATTTGTTATCGTATATTTCAATTTAGTCAAGATATGTTGTGCGCCTCGGCAATAAACTTAAAAGCAAATCCTGCCCTAATTAATTGTTTTCATCCTCAGTTTTGATAGTTATCGAACTTACCGGGAAATTTTTTAATTTCTTGCACTCTATAAAATAGCTTCTAAATATTATTTGGTTTCTATCGGAGATTTTATCGTTATCCCGACGTCGTTAATAACAATATCGTTTATTTTAAGTTGGAGGTATTGGTTTATAATCAAAAAATTATAACACATAACATGAAAAATTTAAATCAACGCCGACTCAAAAAGTAAAACACGTTTTTCCATCTTTATTCTCCATTATTGGCGGACGGAAATTTGGGAATCGGGTTTAACTAATTTGATTATGATGACGGTGGTAAACAAAAGTACACAAACATAGCATACCATTCTTAGTTTTTAGTCGTTATTTCTCTGTCCTTTCTTCTTTCTAAGTGCATATTAAGACCATAAAACGTGTTTTATTCTTGAACTCTGCGCTGATTTGAATATTTCATGTCGGCTGTTATGTATTTTTGTTTGTAAATGAATACCGCTAACTTAAAGATGTTGTCATCAACGCCGGATGCCGTCGAAATCCGCGATAGATATTAAATACTATTTAAGAGCTATTTTATACGCGCTAAATTACAAGAAATGAAAAAATTTCCTGTTATGTTCGGTCACTATCGAAACTGAGGATGAAAACAACTAATTAAGACACAATTTGCCGAGGACGCCTGAACCATCTCGACTAAGTTAAAATACACGATAAGAAAATATTTTCAATCAAAAACGTCCTCGAAGTCTTATAAGTTCTTCATGTCGGCGTTTATCGAAATTCTTTCATGTCAGCTGTAATATATTGCCGAACCACACATGGACGACGACGCTAGGATATGTGCGCCATATTCGGGACACAAAAAACGGTATTTGAAGTTTGCGATATTTGAATTTAAATTCGATTTGGACATCCCTGCATTAAATTAGTCAGTTTTTAGTTGTGTTTCCAAAAGTTAGTTGTAAATCAATTATTTTAATTGTCATTATGTCTTCCGGTGAGCTTCAGTTTAGTTTAGAATTTTTCTGGGGTTAGGGTCGGGAAAAGGTCCATTCGCAAGAAGTGCATTTTGTTTTTAGTCTTGACGAATTCACCCAACGAGCAAGGCGCGGCACTAGGGAAACACTGGAATTTATTCAAGCCGTGTTTCACTATCCACGAGGCGCAAAGCGAGGGAAACGTTGAAAATAATTAACAGCTTTTCGTTAGCAATTCGCTGGAATGTAATGAACGGCGTTTTGCTACCCACGAAGTGCAAGACATAGCGAAGCGCCGTTAATGAACGAGTGCAAGGTAAGCGAAAGGCTGGGATTTAATCGATGGCGTTTCCCTTTTAACCACGAGCAATTTATCGCGTTTCAGCGGGGCGACACCTAGTGGCATTGCGACTTACGTCGTGAGTGCACTGTGTAAATGCCGGTCGGACCCCCCCGTTGAAAACGGTCTGGTTGCGCCACTGACTACACCCCGATTCACTCGCATTCAATCCAAACAAAAATTTAGATTTAGCTGCTGCAATTTACCTTTTCATGTGTTTTCACTTCTTGAACAACAGTTGTCTCTTGCTCATGATCAAGATAGTCAGTTGAGTGATGATTGCTAGACTGAAGGGCCGGGGCCATTCCACCACTAGCAGATCTGTCCATCCGTCATCCTCCAAATACAAACGGATTCGAACAACAAGCCTTACAATCAGTAAATTACTTTTTTCATATGTAACATAATTATTACTAACAATACTGCAAAACAACAATAAAATGTGGACCATTACAAAATGCAAAAATTTGCAACCCACTAAAAGAGTAGTCTTTAAACACTGTTACAATACTGCAGGAAGACTACCCAAAATAAAAGGGTTTTATATCTATATCTTGGGTTATATATCCATATATTGCTGGCATAGCTCAGTCATGTGTCATCTTGTCTAAATTGCATAAATTGCAACAAGTACCGACATGATGGATGGATGGCGCTTCACAGCAAAAGATAAAAAAAAAATCCGCCGTCTTTGTATCAGCAATTAAATAATTTATGGTCTATCAGGCGATGGGAGTAAGTGCTTTTTAGTTAAAAAACGCACACTCCAAACTCCCTGTGTGACACTTCCGCAGTGCAAAACTCCCTAAAATCCAAGGCATATTAAAACCGGAAACATTTTAGATAATGCGGCAAGCCAGACAACATCTGAAGTCGAATACCGTCGCTATACCACGTCACGCAACAGAAGCGGATGCCACCGAAAAATAGAAACTAAAAATAACCTTATGTGCACGTACGTATTTGTGTATGTTGCCGTTCAAAATTGTAGTTGAAAGCGTTGTTAATATACATGAAAAAATATGAGCAGCCAAGCTCGATATCGCAACTAAATATGACCGATTGTAAAATTTATGCAATGTTTTTTTAACAATATTACAAACTACGCAACACGTCGGAAATGGAACGAAATTAAAACTAAAACGTTGCGGCAACGATAAACACGAGGGAACAAAAGCGTGGTAGAATAAATTAGGCGGCGGTGATGCAACAAAAATATGCCGCCGATCGAACACACTTTCCCGTAGTACGTCGCCGCAAGGGCTGTGATACCTTGATAAAAACAAACATCGGCCAAAACGTGCAGTTAAAGCCGCCGTACCAAGATTATTGGTAAAAATCATTTACTAATAAGAATACAATTATATTTTGAATTTATATTCCCGCCCAAGACCGGGATTAATTATTCAGACATGAGATTTCCGACGGGGAACACTGTGACAGCAGCCGACCTTCAAGCGTCATTGGAAATGCTTCAATATAACCCAAACAACTATCAATACATATTAATTATATGCATGGTCCACACATAATTTACCAGCTTCTGGGGCAGAAAAATAGCCGCTAATAACACTTAATAGAAACAAAAAAAATAAGGAGAAAGGCTTTTCTGTTTGGTCAAAAATAACACATTGATTTTTCAACAAAGTGGAACAGAAAAGTAGATATTTAAATTACTTTTATTTGTTACTATTATTGTGGCAAAAATTGTGCAGCACCCATTTCCCACAATTAGGGAAATGCAGTTACTTTGGTCACAAAATAAGAAACATCTACAAAAAAATGTAATGTATTTACCATCCGACCTAAAAATAATATGTGAATGCGTCACAAAATTCTATTTTTTTTATTTACTATATTCATTCCTTGCTAACTCGATAACTAAAACAGGGAATTAGGGAGATTCTCATCCCCAATGAAGTGAAGTCTGCAGTGACAGAGAAATTGATAGTAACAATTTGGCCAGGGCAGATGAATAAGATGTCAAACAAAAGATTTGTGAAGCATGCTTTTGTGTAAGATATCTCTGCTAATCTCTCTGTTTTATGAATTCTCTTATTATTGATTATATGAATACCTGAATACTACTCTAAATCTAGACCACATTGGAAATAATTATACTGTAAGACATAAGAAATGCATATTACCTTTACGTTCTAAATGCGCCAAGATGTAATGATATGACTAGTAACTGCAGAAAATTATTGAATTTGGGATATCCACATGTTCATGCCATATTCAAGTATGAGTAATTAGCATTACTTCAAACTGAAAGTTGTTTTTAACTGTTTAGTTGATGTTGAAAGTTTCGCTCTATATGTAGATAATGATGTAATAATTATTGAGTAAACACACAGCAAACAACTTTCTGTATGTACAATTGAAGTATTCCAATGAGTGCCATACAGAAAAAAAGTGTTGCCAAATTTGACAAGTTCATTACTAATGATTTTCAATCAAGCATACTCAAGTAGGACCAAACTACTAGATTAGATTAATGCCTCTCAAGGAAGGAAATTTTTCCTTTTTGAGGAATTCGGCTATGTATTTGATGTTGTTTTACTAATATTCCTTAGTTGTTTATTATCACTATAATACTTATTTATGCAAACATTGTAAACTATTATACTACTAACTGTAAAAAGTGGTTCCGACTTGACCGTTAACTAAGAATACATTGAAGATTGAATAAATGAGTTACTGAAGTTTTTGTGAATAGGCTATGGGAGAGATTCAATGTTGGGAAATGGATTAAAGCACGGATGGGAAATGAAGGAGACTATGACTAAAACCAATGGTGCAGCATATGAACATACACAATACATTGTAGTCATTGTATTATTATTTCGTAACATTTGTCATTTATACTGATAAAAATAGTATGAGAGTGAAAAGTATTTTGATTTAGTCCAATATTGGTTGAGAAAAACCAAGATAGCCTATATAGTTTCCAGAAAAAAATTGGATCTCCAACCGCAAAAAAACAAAAATGATAAAAATAGCTCATTAAACATTTAGCCAATATGATATTTTATATGAATGAGGTATATATTCACTGATACACACAATAGAAAATAATTAAATAGCCTAACCACAAAACCCTATTAAACAAATATTTTGAATTCAGTTATTCAAAATAGGATTTTGTGGATTCAAAAGACCACAAGTTTACAGTAAACACTATGTGATGGAATTTGTCAAACGGTTAGGCTATAACTGCATGTAAACAGATAAGAAACATCTGATATTACTCGATATAAAAACAGCGAACAGTTGAAGAGATGTGAATATAATTTACACAAACAACATGCTTTAAAAGTCAACAGCAAATAAAGTGCTGTAAATATGATCGACCAACATTCAAATTTTAATTACCTATGGCCCGAAACTAAGTAAATAAACAACATAACCAAAATACAATGTGAAACAACATATTGGGTAATAGCATATTTTTAATCAATTGCCCTAATTATGACAAAATACACTAATACATTCAGCACAACATACAAAAACCAATAAACTATATCCGCACTTCTTAAAATAGCTCACAATTATATTCACCATGAAATGGTCATCAGTCAAGGGAAGGCATAATGATTAGAACTATTACATACACAAAAAACAATCAATAGTTTAGTCATACACACACACACTTATGATAAATAACTGGTTTTGATGTAAGTTAATCTTCAGGATTATGCTCAAAGCACATTTCGCACAACCAGCCAAATTAGCCCAATTCAATAGTATCATTTGCAGTTAGCAATTCTTCTCAACTATTCTAAGATTCTGGCCTTTCAGTCGATGTCATTTTCATTTACTGAAGTGAGAAAAAGTAAGGAAGTAGTTAAACAAAGACAATAACCCCGGGCAATCCAGTTGCCATCGAGTACAGGACCGTATTACAGTACGACACACTATACAGATCGAGCGACATTGTCTCGTTTCAGAGAAACCCATTTTACAGATGATCAGACATCTCTCCTTTGAGACACGTCTGGACATTGTTGTCCCTCAATATTGGTAAAAATACAGTAAAATGAAGTTGCGCAAAATACTACAAAGAAGCGCAATCTAAAAACGTCATCTTGGAATTTGGATAGTGTGCTGTACTGTAATAATATTATATCTATGTCATAAAGTTCCAGCACATCATTTCTCAAATAAATTTGAACATCTACCAATACAGAAGCTAGGGGGTTGTTCAAATGTAAAAACCATAACAACTTCAAACATGTCAATTTATGCTATAATTCCATTCTACAAAGTTAGGATGAGATTTATATATTTATCCCCTGGGAGAGAAAGGTGATAAGAATGCTTAATCGTATGGCGAACCATGGTCTCTCGTCCGTTGACCAGTCTAAGACAGGTATGGGATTAGTTGGATTACATGAACAACCCTAAGCAATCCTGCCACACATAATTATCCCTCACATGTTTCGAACTTGCGAACCCACGCAAGGTAACCAGAAGTGCAGTGGCAAGCGAATTCCTAACACTTAAGCGTGTGTTACACCAAGCCCTACGAAAATAAACAATTTCTTCACAATAGCCCACTCCAAGCTAAACAATCTTAACGTGAACAATCTTACAGAAAGCAAATAACAGTTAATAATTTCAATCTTCGGCAAACAATGATGCTTTAAATAAACCTGACACCTTATTATCTATTTCAATGAAGTAAGTTTATACAATTACTGTAAAGTTACTGTATAGATATGTATGACTGTATAAACTAAAACATGCATAAACACATGAAGGCAATAGTGAAAAGTTCTGGTAACAGATTACCAGAATTGCAGAGCGCTATGACACGGTTATCCGCTCTGTAGTACGGTATATAAGTAAAGTAAGCAAAGCGGGATCATCGGGAATTGGAACCAAAACAATGCAAGCATGTGCACGATGATTCGCTAAACAGTGTTCCCATTGCACCAATACGAAAGTTTAGGTCAATTGATACAACATAATGCTCAAAACAGAAATAAAATTTATGTAAGTTAGCCACTATAATATAAAACAATATGAAAATAAAAATACAACACAAAAATATATCGCTAACATTCAAGAAAATATTATAACTGAAAATTCAAGGGAGCCCACGTTCATTGAACAATGAAGAAACAACATATCACGTGATGACATACGAGAGAGCGGCCACGTCTTGAACCGTAATGGCGGCCGACAACACCCATTTATCAATGTTAGTCACGTATTACTTACCCTTTTAGGGGGTTCCGTTTTAGCTGCGAGTGCGAAACTTTGCCTGTGTGTCAACTAGATGCAATACATCCCGTGTACGAAATATCGAAAGAATATCTCACACCACTCCTTGGAAATTTCACCGAAAACAGAATGCTGTCAGCAAAAAGTCGAGGCCGTTCATTATACATCGACTCGAAGCAGAATTCTGGCGGTCGCGGAACGCGGTATATTGCCTCCTCGTGATGAGCCTGTTTCGCTCTTCTGATTGGCTGATGCTGCGTGCTGATACAATACGTCAACTACCCTCCCTCCGCAAATTGATTATTTCTCAGTGTTTGTTCTATAGAAAGCTTTGCATTGGGTTTCAATCTGTATCATCTAAAATACTTGATAAACATTGAAACAGTGTCATCATTTCAATTCACAAGCTTGCAGTATAACACCCCTATAATATATTCAATTCCGGGACAAGAAGGGAGTGAAATATTTTTTTAATTTACAGCTCAGTTGTGCACTGTTGCACAGGTTTCTTTCAAGCTTCCACACAGTTTTCTGATCAAATTTCTCATTAGCACCTCACTCTAAATTAAAGCAATATTTATAAAAGTTGTATAGCATCAAATTATTAATTTATGAAAAATATTAGTAAGGCATTAGCTCATCAAAGGCATTTCATTGTTTGAAAATGATTTTCATTTATTGAATTATTCAAATATATAAAGAGCATGGATAAGGGATAACAGACAATAATAAAATTTGAATAATTTCCAACTTTTACAGAGCACTCCGGCATATATATTTATTCTCCCTATTTGTTCCTGTATGAAAATGATATCAAATTAGTTATATACCTCAACTTCATTTATATGATCAGTTGAATGACTGAAACTGGCGAATGTTTACCAAGCTAAATATTTTTATATTAGCTATGTTAATATAAAGTCAAACTGAAATTCGGTATTCATGAAATAAATAAATCGTCTATTGAAATTTAGTCATTTTTGATGCGCTTCTAAATGAAATTAAAGATTTGCATTCATAATTGCTGTTTGTCATAGTTTAAACCAGCACCATACATGTTTTAATCTCACAAATGAGGTTGTGAACGATTATTCCTCAAAAAAAGCTTGTTTCCCTTCGATTTATTTACAAGAACCAGCACCACACACATATTCAATAAAGTTTTACAAAGAAAAATATTGTTCAAAAACTTTTTATGAGAAATATTTGTACATAGTCCACACAGAACCAAATGTCAGAGACTCGTGCATGCGCCTATTTGCACAAGACTCGTGCTGTACTTTTGTACAATAATAGTATTATGCCAAGCACTCAATTACAAACTGTTTTCATTTGTGCTCCAGAACAAATTAATGAAGTCATATACATTAAAATTTTATTAAAACTGTCCTTCACATTTTTATTGGATAAATCACATGAATATTTGAGAACTTGTGTGTGTTTAGCATGCTAACATTATTTATTTCAAGCCATGTTACTATAAAATTAAACTTATAAAAATTTAATTTATGAATATCCCTATATGAATTGCCATTCTTGACTTGACAATGAATTTTGATACTGTGTATTAAAGCTGCATTGATGATGTCTTGAGTACATATTTAGAACCATTGCGTTGATTTTGTGTCATTATCTATTTATTCTTTACCGTATTAATCATATGGGGGGGATTTTAAATTATTTGATATTTCATTACAAACCATATTCTATGAGAAAATGCTTTACAAATTTAATATAATCATGATACTTCTCACCTCTAAATTAGTCAAAGTGGTATTCACTATAACATGTCCAAAAGTGACTTCAGTTATAATTTATCAAATCTTTTTATTTATGATATGATCTTCACAAAGTTTTGTAATGGTGCATATACGAATCATAATGTTGTTGTATAAAAAGTTACCGTTCTTAGATGCATTTGGGAAATCAATACATCCATCCCATCAGCAATTGTTTTCCATAGAGCACGGTCATGGTTGATATTGAGTAATATACGGTGCCTTGATGTTTTTATACTGGGTTGGAATTTCTCCCATCAATATTTAATGGCATGTATGTTAGAAATTAAATCTATTTATTGAGTATTGACTTATCAGTGTGTGCTTGTAAATTGTACCTTATCTACATTTAGTTGATGTCTCATAATCAGTTTGCGCATTCCTACATAAACAAAGAAACAGTGTATCATCAAAAATATTTCTCGAATATCATAAGCTTCCTTATGTGGGGCTACGCAGGGCCGAAAGTAAGGACTCGCAATTGACCATATACTCTCAACCTTACAATTACCACTCCATCCACATTCACTGAAACTTCATTCTTGCACATTTTATTTCAAAAAATAAAGACGGTGGACAGTGCAAAATATTAATAATCACAATACAAATGTTATATCAAAAATATTTAAATAAACATATATACTTTTAAAATTTCATTTAAAGACACTAGCACCTTGTGAAGACTCATCATATCCAACCATTTATTCTATTGAGCCTGGTGACACCACAACAATTCAAAGTTTAAATAAATTGTTCTACAGTAAATACAGTATACAACATAATAGCATGAATCAGATCATCATTTAGGCAGCTATACTTCGTGGAGATGCTGGTCCTATCACTGGCTTGAAGGAATGCAGAAATAATATAGTTCAAGTAGAAATTTGCTATAATACAGAATAAAATAGTGACACCAAACAAATAGAGAAAATTCGTGGACACAACAGCCTTTACTGTACAGATTTATATAACTTTATTGTGGATTTCGTACCACATACATATCTCAAGTTGTACTAATATCAAAATTTAGGTAAAGACCAGTAGTTGTTCAAGGATGTGGAGTTCATCAAAATTAATCAGGAATTATCCTATTGTCTACATATAATGAATGTACTATTCCTTCTCTTCTTTTTCCACTTGTCACTGCCTGAATAAAGCATGCATGTTTGTCAACTTCAAAATGTGTTTCAGTGCCATCATCTGTAAATTCTCCCTGCAAGATGGGTTTTAGTTTTAAAATCAGACCATCAAATTTATAATTATACTGCAGAATATTATCATATATGTATCAAAGTCTAGAAACAAGCTAGTCACACGGAATTTATGAGCTTGGTCGAGTGCAAATCAACTACCCATCACAGAGAACAGACATAGAATACTATAGTATACTTTGTTGTGCATCAACAACTTCAGAAAACAGATTGTTCATATTTCGAAGTGTATATATGAGGCGAATTCAAAAATACATACATTCCAGAATCATAGTCTGCACTGAAGCATACAATTCAGAGAATACAATCAACAAGACATGTTTATTTCATGTTAAGCAAATGGATTGCATAGAATTTTCCAAATTGATGTACCCTCAAAATTCTCGCTCAACTGATTTTTTGCAAATACAAATATACTTTATAATAATAAAACTGATTTCCATGTTTATATACACATTCAGGTATAAACAAGTATGCTCACTGCTGTTTCCATCTTCTCTCCATTTACCCACACATCCAATGTGTCTTTTTCTGAAGAAAAAAATAATTCAATTGAAAATATCAGAGCGAAAGCTGAAGCAAGATGATGAATCGGCTTGTTATTAACTAAAATGTGTAGTTGGGTTCAGTTAAGCAGTATTGGTATAAGTATAACAGTTATGCATTTTGATGGAAACAATGTTACTTTATTTGCTCAACAATATGCTAAGAAGATGTCCATTTGTAACGCATGTGATGATGGTAGGTTTTCAATAGTTTACTTCAGTATACGGTAAGTGTATTGTATTGCAGATTTTGCCAGAGATCAGAAGTCTGAGTTTGCCATGTTTTTATTGATATTAAAGCCAGAGTTGTACTTCAAACTCAAGTTTTTTTATACAGAGTTAAGTGGAGGGCTACATAGGACTGACCTGTATGTTTCTCAACGGTGTCCCGGCCAGGCTGAATTTCCTTATAAAACTTATAAAAAGCAAAATTTTGAATTCCCCAAATCTGGTTTTCCTTATAAAATCTTCTTATAAATAAATTCTCTTAAATTCTTGTTCAAAATAAATGTATATATTCAATGTTGGACAAATTAGACCATATTTCACAGGTTCTCAATTTGATTGTCTTTAAATTATGCTTAATATTGGATGAGACCAGAACACCTAACTGCTTCTCTGGTTTCATAGCATACCAAAAACTATTCTTGTTTCCACACCACCAATATGCAGTGCCCATGCTTTACTGGTCTTGCTCTTGTTTTCCAGAAATTTCTTTAAGCTCTTTCCTTCAATAGTTAAAGTATATTCATAAGCAAATCCACTGCAAGCATCAATGCTAATTCTGCCTGAAAGTTAAAATGATGGAATTATACAAATGCGACATTCAAGTGTGATCAAAGACTGTGTTGAATAATTACTTTCGTTGCAAATGCAATGAATTACTGATAAGCAATTTGATTGATTGAAGTGATTGTTATGCTAGTTCAATATTTAACAGCTAAGGATAGAAAGTAGAATTAATTCTTACGCGAAACAGAAATTATCATCCATAAGTAAATTGCCACTTTCTATTCAAACATGTTTTTGTGTAGCTGCTAGGACATAACCGAATACTTATAACCTGAATTATGTTCAAGATTCCTGGCTCTTAAACAAAAACTCAACATTTGAGATCACTAGAAAAAAAATGCAACAGGTCCGTATGGATGAACATGATACTAAAATAAACACCAAATTTTACCTTTAATTTTTTGTTTCCCAACCACAAAATCTTGGAATCCAACAAGCTTGAACATCCATTCTTTTCTGTAAACTTCCTATAAAATAGTTGATTGTTATTGTGACTGTGAATGCAAAAATGGATTTTATGACACTGGTAAATCAGAAAATTATTTGCTCTGACAAACATACCATTGTTCCACAAGATGATTCATATTGCAGTAGACTATTGGCAGATTGGTTGATCATGGTCTATTATTAAATTTACGGATTTCAATCACAAACATACATTTCCCAGTAAAACAAAATAGTAAAATGCAAAAAGGTGCCCATCAGCTGATTAGGCACTGTACCATGATCTATTAGAGATACCTAAATACGGTTGGGTCTATCACAGTATCAGACTGTGGGTAGCCTATATGTAATAGGCTAGTAAGCTTAAAACTTACTTTTCCATCAATATAAACCACTCTTTTACCCGATGTCGTTCCATGTTCAAACTCAATCTTATGAACACCATCACTCAATGCCACTTCCCAGTGAGCCACCAAGTCTCCCAAGTTTTTACGAGGCGGCATGGTAATGCTGTAATGAACCAACACCGGTACCGTACCGTACAAAAACTGGGGTCACGGAGATTGCGCTGTCCTAGTACCGTACTGTAGTACTCAAGCTAATGCTTGACGATCAATAAACAAATCGAAGCTGCCACTGCACAATGCCCCCTAGTGGAATTAGTTTCGTGAGAGAAAGAGAGATTTCAGTTTCACAAATAGGCCGCAAGCCGAGGCCATTTATCTTTCAGTTTCGTATCGCACATAAGGTAACTAACTACCTGAAAATGATTTTAAAATGTTCCTTAGAAATTTAGTAACAAATATTGCCTTGTTCCCACTTCCAAAAGTTGCACGTTTTACAGAAAAGACGCTTTTACTACAATAAATATGTGTTACCATCTGTCCTATTTTCACTGCTTCTCCGGTATCACGGGCCAATGAACGCAGACTTCTGCATGACGTAACAATCAAATTAGTCAGCTGTAGGTGGATCCCCAGTAGTCGGATGAATATCAGATGTACTACTACTGCTCGCTTTTGCGTTGAGTAGCCTTTCCATAGTTTTTTCAGTTATTATTAGTTCAGTTATTCTAAGAAGGGGTTGAAAAGTATAAGTAAGATATTAAACTATTAAATTATTGTATATCCTTACCATAAATAGCAATTTTAGTTGAGCACTAGCTCATAAGACGTTGTTAAATAGGTACGGTGCGGTAACTCCAAGGAAGGCTAGACCTAGAATAATATGTCACAAACAACGATAATTTCTGGCTTGCATGAAATGTTTATGATTAATTTAATGACTCTACTTGACTATTCAGCAGACTTATACTACTATATAGGCCACATCATATTTGGAAATATAAATTAATGGCTGTTTCTGTAATGCACGTTAATGTAATGTAAATTCATAGAGTCGACAAGAACCTGGGAAGCAATGACAGGTTATGCCGAAGTGGAAAGAAAGTAGCATTGGAAACGATTGAGAGGTGAGAAATCAAGTTGCAGACAGACAGTTGATGTTTTAAAATATAGTCTATAGTCCATAATCATACTGTCATAGGGCATTTCAGACCGTGATATATCAAAATTTAGTGTAGATATAGTCTAGTAATGGTATGCAAACACTGCTGGACTGTAGGACATGCAATGAGCATATATACGCTGATTGAGTACATCAGATAAAATGCATAATGTATTCAAGGTATTAGTTAGTATATAGTGGTATTTTTACACTCATGCTGTTCCAAATATGATTTTCTTCCTCATTTTAGATATTGTACTACAAAAGAAAACGGCAATGTTCCACCAATCCGACCTAACGCAGGCTCTAGTCCCTGCTGCTATCAGTGCTATAAAATGGATTAAACAAGAAGTCTTGAAGCGTAAAGGTATATGAGAATCATAATAGTTGCAAACAGCTTAGATGGGCTATTCATATTGAAATACTTTAGCACTTTTCTGCAATTGGAACTGCCCATCAAACTCATGTTGGAGACTTCATTGAGGTTTTCAATTCATTTTTTTCTCAACTATAAAGATCTTTTGAGGTTAACGAGGCATTAATAAATAAAGCTGAGGAATTTGTTTGTTCACTGTATGAAGAAAATATGAAGAATGTAAATGATACCAGGGCACGTCTATTTAACACTGGCAAACATAAGTATTATACTCTCCACCCAACAATGATTCACTGAAGAAGCATGTGGCCCTCAAATCAGTTCTTGAGTTGGCAAACTGCAAGTGTAATAAAAATAGTCAAAATAATTTATCCAAGTGTGCCAAAATCAACTTAAATTGCACAGATTTTTGTTTTTGTATTGACTGCAAAAATCACAGTACACATATAGAGGAAAAGTCGATTTTCGAGATAGTGGATTTCGAAAACAATTCAGAAGAAAGTGAATTAGATATTGCAGTTGATTTAATAAGTATCATTTATTTTTTTTTTCGGACATTCGTTAGTGTTGGTCCTGTTTCTAGAAATAATATCGCCTTTGTTCAAATACATAACCACATAAACTAAAAAAGGACTAATTGTAATATTTCTGTTCACTATGTTATGTACATATTGTACATTCATTTAATTTTCTTGACTTTTCCGGTGAATTTCTAAGTGAGAAATAACTGATTTATTTGTGTTTTCGTGCTCACGATGTTAATTTGTGACTTCATTGCTTAAATATAAATACGTTTGATAGCTTCTATAAAATGGATGTAGCTTTTTATGCTGTTCTTGTTGTAAACTGCTTGTGGTTATTACATAAAATTTATTCGCTAATGTGAATCAGCGTTGTTGGTGTCGCTGCTTTCGAGGTCACTCGCGACCCCTGTTACACAATTAAAGTATTTTTTGTTATTGGTTACATGTATGCCATATTTTTCGTAATCTACCTAATAAATTATGATTGACTGAGGAAGTCCGATTTTGGTCAGGCAAAACATTACAGGAATACATTTGTGTTAGTGTGCTGTAGCCTGTAGGGGAAAGCTGTAATGCGTTCAGTATGTTCATTTTCACACAAAACTGAAGAATTTATTTAGTTACCAGATGTGCGCTACGAAACTCATTTTCTGGGCGTTTTCAAGGCTTCGTCTCACGGCCCATATCCGTGGTAAAAATCTACAAGTGTTTAATAACTTACTTATAATTCAACAACGTCTTAGCATAACTTAACTAATAATAACTAAACAGGGCTATGGAAAGGCTGCCCAACTCAACGCAAGGTCGAGCAGTGATAACTAATATTTATCCGCTCACTAACAGCTGATTCGATTCCATTGTTACGTCATGCAGAAGTCATTGTTCATTGCCGAAAATGTAGAGAATATAGGACAGATCGTAGCACATATTTCTTGTAGTAAAAGCGTCTTTTCCGTAAAACGTGCAACTTTTGGAAGCGGGAACAAGGCAATATTTGTTACTAAATTTTTAAGGAACATTTTAAAATCATTTTCAGGTAGTTACCTGATGTGCGCTACGAAACTCACTTTCTAGGCGTTTTTCAGGGCCTCGGCTCGCGGCCTAAAAACAATGTTAATCAAATAAAAGAACAGACAATATTACAGATTCGAAATACAGTGCAGTGAATAATTTAATCATTGAGTTATATAGGTCTGTATGCAAGATCTTTGCAATACCTTCATCTAATGTTTAAATATCTAATAATAATAAAAAAACAATGTTTTAGCTATTTATATTCATCAACTACATTTGGCTTATGAAACTTGTGATTATATAACGATGTTTTTCCCCCAAATTGAATAAAATTGGATTTCTGATCAGAGACTTTTTTTGACTAGTTTTTTCTTCTTTTCCTGACTCTTGAATGTCTTGGCCTATTAGGAATTTTTTTACGGGTTGATCGACATGGTTGACTTTGTAGTCTTGCCCGCCCCTCCCGATTATATTTTATGATTTATTTTAGTATCCATTGCAATCTGTACATTTTTGATATATTCGGAAATTAAAATATTATCTCTCTTGCAGGTCACCGAGGCTCCTGACCATTTTGTTCACACTGTGATTAAGCTTTCATAATGGATTCATTGGATTGGGACAGTATAAAATTAAAAAAATAAGAAGACAGAAAAGGTTTCTAATGAATCAACTATGACGTCACGAGAGAGAGATTTAATATTTGTCAACCAGAAAAAACATAAATACAATGATAATAATAATAAATATAAAGCAATTGGAATAACGTTTCTTCGGTATGGTCTGGAGGGAGCGATACCAACATGCGGTCGTCGAAGTCAGCTCCCACCATGTTCGCGTCAATTGAAATAAGTTCACAGTAAAAATATTTATTATTATAAAGTGGTTATAAATTCTAGAATTTTGCATCTTGAAAAAAAAGGAATCTCGGCCAAGAACGAGTGTAGCCTGTTTTTAAATGAGAAAAGTTTATTTTGGAGTACAAAAGTTGACAATTTTTGCCTAAATTTTATAGATTTGGGTGCTATTAAGTTAAAATTTATATAGGGAAGTAGCAAGCCATTATTAGAATATATTTTAAAAATATTTGGTCCTATCAGGAGATTACACTAAATCCTATTGACTAATTCCCATGTACCATAAGGTGGAAATTGTGCCTCTTTATCAGATAATCAGATTTTCTGCGCACCTCTCAATGCCACATTTGGAATACTGTTTGCATAGCCAAGTGACACTAGCAATAAATTATAGTAGTATTAAATTCTAAAAACAATTAAGCTCATGAATTAGCTAAGCACAGGTTTGAAATACTTATTTACTGGGAATGAATAGTCACTTAATTTAGTTGGAGACGGTCACATTTGTTTTCTATAGGAATAAGGAAAAAATGAGTATTCCAATCATTTTCATACTATAAATTCAGATACATATTAAATGATAGGATAGTATTTAAGCACTGAGTGCAATTAAGCTATACTTAATAAGCATCAGTTAAAAAACTGCAGATTCAATCCTTCTTCAATCCTCTTTTAGAGAGATTTTCTTCAAATTGTTGATTGTTCTGGCACTCTCCCAATCTTATTTATTTCTCTCTATCGTAAACAGACCAAGCATTAACTTGAAACTTAACTTAAACACTAACTCTGAAATGTTTGGCAATGGGAAAGCGTCCAATAAAGTGAACTTGTTAATAGTTTGCGAGTAATCAATTGCCAAACGTTTCTTTCGATTTTCTGCTTTAACCACAACGACTTGAGCTCTCCATGGCGAAAGGCATGTTTCGATAATTCCTTCTCGCTGAAGTCTTGCTACTTCATCTCGAATGAATAATCTATCTTCGTGTGAATATCTTCTCGATTTAGTGGCGATTGGATGACAGTCCGCAGTTAAATGTTTGAATGGTTCCGGTGGGGTTATTTTCAATGACGAGAAACCACAAATTGATAATTCAGGTTTTTTACCACCGTAGTGAAATCTTACACTTTTATGCAGGGTTTGGAAATTGAGTCCGAGGATCATATCAGCGCATAAGCTGTCGATTACACCAAACTTAACTCCGCAATATTTATGATTATTATAGTATAAATCCATTTCAGTACATCCAAGAACTTCTACTGAACATTTAGACGATGCCATGGAAATGACATTCTTTGTCGGACGAACGTTGAGCCTAAGAGATTTTACCAGCCTTGGGTGAATATAATTTTCCGTACTACCACTGTCGAACAAAGCTCGTACTTTTCGTTGACCGACTTCTACCAAGGCTGTGGCTTGTCGTAATGTAGACGGAACGTATCCAACATGAGTATAAGATTTGTCATGAATAGTAGCTAATGTTGAATGTGGTATCATTGCTGAAATGTCAATGCGACTGCTGGAGTCATTGTTCGAAATAGTTCTTCCGCGACAAACCTTTGCAAAATGTCCTTTCTTTTGACACTTGAAACAGACTACTTCCCGAGCTGGGCATTTCGATCGTGGGTGTCTACTATTACCACAGAAAAAGCATTTACTTCTAATAGTCATCGCTGCATTATCTGGCACCAATCCAACATCGAAATTGTTAGATTGTATCGTTGAAGGTGCTGCTCCGACGGAAGCGTTTTCGTTTATAGCATAAGATTGTGAATTTCGAACGGCAGTTTCCAATGATTTGGCTTGATCAACCATTTCGTCCAGTGTCAATTTCTTATTCTCCAGCAGTCGTTGGCGTATCCAACTGGAATTCAAGCCACGTATAAAAGAGTCCCGAATATATTCATTCTGGTATTCTTTAGCAGATACGTTCTGAAAGTTACAATCTTTGCTCAATTCTGTCAATGCTCTTAAATATTCAGCAACTGACTCAGAAATTTGTTGGGATCGCGTGGCCAACATATGACGTGCATATATTTCATTCTTTGGCTGTACAAAAATCCCTTTCAGCGTATCTATGGCTTCATTATAAGTTGTGATATTTCTAATATATCTATAAGTTCTCGGAGACACATAGTTTGTTAATACTCTCAATTTATCCAGTCCTTCAGTGGGTAAAGCTTCCAAGAAATTTTCGAATGTCTTTTGCCAATGCAGCCATTCGCATTCCGCGTCACGTATATCAGGATCTGTGTCTAGTTTCTCAGGCTTTAAAACTTTATCCATTGTGGTTGGTTCGTTAAGTTATGTTTAATAAATTGTTATGAAAGATAACAGGATACCGATTCTAGGCTTTATTAAACATAAGAACACCACTACCACAACTTAACACTGTAAACAATAGAATAACACGCAAACAGTAAAGTGTGCAGTACGACAGAACCAGAGCAATCAAGAGTACATTGTTTATCTGATAATTACACTGTAAAGAAATACTAACACCACAATCCCCTTCCCCAATTTTATTCTATCATTTTGTGAATACAGTTGTAAATTCTACCGAAAATGTAGAATGTAGTGTATCTTCTACCTTAATATTTAGTCATCTGAAATTGTGACTCTTAAACATAATAGAGAGAAGAGGGTATGTTACTTTAATTGCCGTCTGGTCGTATCAATCCCTCCTGTCGAAGCCAACTAATTTATTACATGTTATTATTATTTTATTATTATGACTGTTCCAATATTTTGGTTGACAAAAAATAAAATCCCTTTCTCTCTATCTCTGTTTTTAAAGAACTAACAAGGCGATGCATATTGAGATTCACGAAGTGTACATTCCAAGTAGGCAGGCATGGGTAGGGCTGGGAATTTCAGGGCAAACACTTTAACCGTTAACCGGGCAAAGCAATTTCGCATGATCTTCTCCAGGTATCGCTCAAAATTATTCACGAATCGAGATAGTTTCATGATCTCTTTGCTGCAAGAGATATGCAGCGTGGTTAGAACATATGGAAATATTTTACTAAAACCGGAATCCGTTATTAAATGTCATTTATGTGACAAATTTTCAGTGTTCGACGTGCAAATTCTACTTTGAGATATCATAAGGAAAAACAGCATCAACTGCGCACTTGTTGGATGACATTGAATATTTCGACCGAAAACTGGTTCTGAATTCATCACTGTCAAATTTTCATAATTAGCAATCTTGGTACTTCAATTATTTTTCACATTTATTGGGTCCTTACCAATACAGTTAGTAACATTTGTTGAATTAACGCCACAGGAGATAAATTTGCGATGACCTAATCGTTTTGAAAAGATTGTGCATTATAAATATGATTTGTATCTGAGATGTCAGTTAGCGGTTAAAATAAATCGTAAACGTTAATTAACCGATTAACCATTCCCAGCCCTATCCATGGGACGGACATATTTCTCTGTCTCATCTCAAAGTAATTTATGCCTCTACCATCCTATGGGACGTTTGCCATGGGAATCCCATTCAAGTTGACAAGCATGCAAGTAAAAGTTATTTTCATCATACGTTGAAGCAAGCATATAATGCTAAATACAATATAAAAAGTATATTCGCACTGGAAGGTTGCGATTGGCGATTATAGATTGCAAAAATAACTCTAGAGAATACTCCTAAAAATTATTTTGATAAAGTATTTCTTCAGCTTAGACATTAAAAAATGATTAAAAAGAAAATCAGACAAGACACTGTATTGGGCTAAAAATATACGCACAGCATCTCATTGGTAATATTGGTACAGAAATTAAAATTACTCAAAACAGAAATCATGAAATGCCACACTTTGATGATGGACGATGATATAGCCTGTTTATAAAAGAATTCACCCTATGTAATAGAATTTGCTCAAAGCAAAGCCACCTAGCGTGGTATGTAACAATAGGTAAAAAAAAGTTCGTTGAATGTTGAATTTGAGTATATATGAAGTTGACGCTGATGAGATAACATTAATTATTAGATGATGGTAAATTCAACAGGGTAGTGATCGCTGACTTCGAGGGCCTGAAAGTTAAAAACAAATAAATATCAAATTCTATCAACTGATTCGGTGTTTTCGGTAAAATACATTGGTTTATAGATTCATACCCTTTAGTTAAATTGTTATAGTAGTAAAACGGTAGTCATCGATTAGAAGGTGAACTGAAGCCGGTACATACTTAAACAATATTGACACATATATCTTTGCAGTGATGAATACTATGATGCACTGTGATAATATAGGAACTGTAGCACGACACATTTGCAGACTACGACTAAACTCACTTGATCTTGTGACAATCCGAAATGAGAGTCGAATGGAAAAACTTTTCCACCGAAGGCTCTTGATACCATTCTACCAGTCAGAATTATCCTTCAAACCAATATTTCGTAATTATTATTATTATGTAATATAGACAACATCGCAATACGTTGTGTTCGTAAGTACTGTAATCAATGATGGTCGAACTTTTCCTCATTCTGCATTTTGTTCTCCAGTGGCATATTCAAGATTTATTCATGAAGAAATGTTACAAAAATGATAATTACGATCACTCACGTATCAAATACCACATACTAATCATTTGATGTGGCTATCAGTAGTTAACCAATACCACAAGTGAACACTTAAAGTAACCTAACGTTATTCTTAATTAAGTACCTGTCATAAGAACAGTTTGTGTTTTGAGTTGTTGTATCTACGTCGTCTCCAATAAGCCAATGGTATGTGGGATTGTTTCTCAACCTAATTTGATTCCAACATTTTTTACATATGACGGCACAATCCGCATTCAAGTCGCCTGCTATGACGGAATCCTGAGAAAAGTCAATTTTCACATTTGGCGTTTGTTGAAATTGTAAACATCAGACAGCCACAGAATAGATTCGTTTAACTCCTGAGTTACAATGAAAAAGATTATATCCAGCTCCAAATATGGGATAACAAAAATTTGAAACAATTGTAACTAATAAAGACCCGCGAATACTCGTGTTTCTAGTTACAATTTTGTTATTCCGGAGTCGGGTGTTGAAGTTTTTGTCACAGAGTCGGGATCAAAATATTTGTCAGCCTGTATTTGAAGTTAAGCTGCTTGTTAAATAGCTCACAGTCGTTTGTAACGTTTGCCAAATCCACAGCCGTTTCATTATGCATTTATTGTGCACGTTGGTTGGTGGGATTAGGGTTTTCAAATTTATCTTCGGGATAAGAAAGCTCCAAAATTCTAATCACGGAGTGAACCACGTCAGAACACGTCCTGGTGAAATACTCGATTACATTCGACTAATGGGTAACAAACCAACATCCCACGCCATCCATAAAATGGGTACGAAATCTGATAGTGGACTCTATGTTTGATAATAATGAGGGCCGGTAGAGACTGAAAATTCATAAAGGCGTTGACATTTAGACTATCTTTCATAGTTAATTCGCTCATAAAATTTTAAAGGCGTGTTCCATAATTTAACTAATTCGAAACTGAAATTTGTTCTATTTTTTAATCAGTTCTATAACTCGTGTTCCATATATTCCCCGTTCAATATATATGTTAAAAATTTAAATGCAGTCGAATAGATGAATTTAGCAAAATTTCACAAAAACTTTACCGTTTCAGCCTTGAATAAAATTTATAATAATTTAATTTGATTAGACAGTTCCTACCCTAATATTTCCATTATTGTTTGAAAAGGGGGAAAAAGAGCTCAAAAAATAACAATTTTAATATTCAGTGATTGGGCCATGCCCCAATCGCCAGATTGTGGGGTGCGGAATAACATATACGGTATTTACAAAATTAAACGGAAATTGCAGGCCTTGCTTTCCGTAACATATATTTAGTGGATCTACTGTTACTCACCCCTGTTAATGTTCGAATTATCGAGTCTCCGTAAACTAACTCCAAACCATTCATTTCATTGATAGCAGATTGTCTTGACGGTTTAGCGTGAAGTGGAATAAAGTTGAAGCTTTTTTGAACACATGGAAGTTGGCATGAAATTCGAAATAAGAGTGCGGTATTTATTCAAATATATATATCTATATAGAGAGAATTTACCTGTAGTAGTAGTGCGTCGAAAGTTCACCACAAAAGGTGGCCTTTCAAACGTTCCTCTTACGTCGGTATATCTGTAATTCATTGTCGGTCCAAGTCTATCAGTCCTAAAATGCGAATATTTTTAATAAATATAATGAAGATTTATTAGTTTTAAACGGCCCGTATAATATTCGGGACTACCAAAAACTTTGATATCGGCGCTATCAACCCACGTCACCAAGACACCAAATATATTAGTGGTAAAATAAAATATATATTAGTTTTTATGGAATCTTTTAATTTACCGGTATATAAAGCCATATTGCTCTTTGCTGGATGTCCTTCCTTCTCTTTCGCCTATTAACATATCGTATTGAACTCCTGGTGGAGCTGCTTCATTTACCTTTTGCACCAATGCTGGAAATGCAGTTCCTGTTATGTCTCGTATTTCTTGTATTAGAATGAGATCGTATCGAAGAACTATCTGCGAGGAAACACTGAGTTTGAATGCAATATTTGGAAATACGATTTACATCAATTAAAGAATATTAAAATCAATGCGTTGCGTAATCTGCTCGGAACATATACGAGTCGAACTTAATATATATAAGAGCAAAGGTATTTGTTATATATATACATAATATACTTTTACATTACCAAACATTTCAATTATTATAGAACTGAACATATAAGTGATAGAAAATTGCGTTTTTGATCTTACCTGCACTAAAATTTTGACGACATTCCGCTTTCCCATTTTTGTTTTTCCGAATATTCGAACGTTGAATGCCGCAACAAGCAAAGGGTCTGCTACAGAGTTTTCTTCTGGGCAGACTGCGTACGTGAATATCCACAGAGAAATAAACGCAGCAAGTAGCAGGATATGCCTCATCATTGACTAATAGTTTGGGTATGCCCTGTTAGATTTTGGCAGAGCCGATACAATATAAATGCTATATATATGTCTCGTCTTTTTTACAATATCCTTAATATACAGATTTACAATTGCTTGCGTTATCCGAAACACGTGTAAACTGCAAATCGCTAACTCCCTTTACATGGAAGGTTAATCTGCTATTCATAACCTCAAGTCGAAGTTGCTCTACCACTTATCTTGAATTAAGACCGAAATCTACTAATACAGCGACTTTCAATCTGTATGACTGTCTATCAGACTCTTTAGACAAGCGACTGAAATATGTACACATGGGAACAGCGGCCACAAAATTATGAGAAATTGCTCATATCACCACCATCACTTTCTTATCATCACACTACATTTTATTAGCATTAGATTATGTGGGCCATTCAGATTTGCGCCAAAGGAGGTTGAAGTCATATTCGTCACCGCGTAATAAAATTGCTTAGACACATTCTAGATATAAATAGTGTTATTCATTTATATTTGAAACAATAAAATGATCTGATCATCTCTAACACTAATCACATTCCTGCAGAAGTTAAATGGACGTTTTTGCGTCGCTATTATGATTTCACCTGTTATTACTACATGATTGCATTATTCATATTATGCTTTGTCTTGTGGCATTTCTTCATAATAGCAAGATTATTGCTGAAAGTTATCCGCTAAATTTTCAAATACTTTTTCTGGGACTTTCTTGCTTCATTATGATAACACAACAAAATTCATTTTGCTACCTTATCAACTATCCTAAATCGGATAATATTTGAAAAAAAAATAGTCGTCTTCATCAAATGAATATCCGCCGGTAATTTACCTCTTGTAATATACCTTCGGTACTACAAGTCCTGAATTCATATGTGCAGAGAACCGTCTGATAATCGGACGCAAATGGAAATTAGCATAGATTTTTCAATTGTAACATTCAGTGTATATTTGCCATTGTCTACTGACAAAGATTATATGTCATATACGCCCCATTTCTGCTAGCCTATAATCACTCGTATATTCTTTCCTAAGTCGACTGCGTGTCGTAATGTGAAAATGTCAAAACAAAAACGGCGTAAGATCACGGTTGACGTGCTCTTCAGAATTCTTGTAAAATGTCAAATTTGGGGAGAACTTATAGCTTGAAGTTATATTAAAACCAAATCAAACTCAGCCGCAATGCTCACTGTTAAAAAAAGTCAGTAATGTTAACGTAGAGATCATGCAATCGGTAGTGTTTGTACAAATTATAATTGAACAACCAACCGCATGCATTAAAGGAGTCTGCCCATTTGTGCGGATCCACATAAAATTGATGAGTCGTGCACGACAAATATCCGATACCGATTTTTATGAAATAAAGGCCCGATCTTGACTATTTCAACTGCCGATCTATTAAATTGCTCCGCGCGCGCTACACTGCCTTGATTGTGTACAATGTTGTCTCTCGTTGATATTCACCATTATTCTTATGAAACTCACATTTTCAACCATAGGAAGGAGAAATTGCCAAATTATGAATTTTTTCAAATATTATTCGTTTGGACTGATGGTAATTGAAAATTCAAAAACGGACTTAATCGGCTTGGTTTTCGCGTTCGCGATCCTTTTAGAGATGATCCTTAGAAGTGATCGAAATAACATGTCAACAATAAAATTGTAAGCCTCTGGCAAAACTATTCAAATTTTAAGATTGAATCTTCATTTATTTATTTTGTTATATCAATTACAGTAAACTTAGGTTATATAAGTGAATTATTGCGTTGAATTGCATTTGTCATCATCATACGTCAACGTCGACCTTTCATTTAATTAGTAAATGTAGAACTCAACTGGATAGTGGTCACTCACATCTTTAGCCTGTAAAAAACAATCATTGATTTTATTGCATAGACTTTTTCAAATAAAACTCCCAGTCGATAGAGGATTATATCGAGTACTCGATTGTATGAAATTAATGTGCGACTGAATTACCGAAAAGCCGTCATAATGTTCATCAAAGCATGGCTTTAGAAGAGTTTGTAAGCGAATTACACTCTGAGGGCATTACATATTTTCGATCGGCTTGCAGCCACATTAAAGTCACAGCAATATAACTTGTGGTTTGTTATTTCAGATCTTTGTAGTTTGTTCAAGTCTATAAAATTTTGTTTTTCAAACGGCATTGTTTTCCGAACGGCAAAGGACCAGATTACAAATGCAGGTCAGAATATATGCGTGAATTTTTTTCATCACTAATTCATAATTACTGATTTATTGCAATAAATTAGGCTTATATTAAATACAATGCTCACCTCTTCGTATGACAGCCCGTACGCGTTATCGTAGTAGAATATACCTGCTCCGAAAGCGTTGTTTGTGACTTGTCCCGTCGTTATGATCCTGTTCGAATAGAATAATAATTAGTGTTGCATGGACTTCAGTATCTGCATTGGGAAATTCGACTGTAAGGAGTAGCTACTAATAGTAACATAACATTGTATATATAGCCTATATATGATTTTCTAAATATCGTTTAGAACTTTTTATAACATAAAACATCACCAAAGTTCATTTCTGTTTCATTGATATAATCTCTGCTCCATAGCAAAATGATTAAATTTTAAATGTACTTGGACAATCAAGTTACAGAAAAATTTGACTACAATGTTGTTGTCTTCAGATAGTTGAAGATAGCTGGAGAAGTCTGATCCTGGTCAGACGAAATGTTACAGTAATATATTTGTGTTAGTGTGCAGCAAGACTCTTGAATCACTTAGGATAGTTATCTTTCCTCTTGCTACAGCATCCTTGCAGTATATGCATACGGATCCGCCGGCACAGAAGTATAAAAGAAGGATAAGTAGTTAGTCTCGCAGAAACCAAATCATTAGCGAATGTTATTGTATTTAGGTTTCGGATTTAGAATGATTTTTATTCGGTTTCTTTCATGTGATCATGTGGGATTCCGCTTAACTCCTCATATATACTCCAAAATGAATAGAATTGAGTTTTAAAAAGTATAAAAAGCAGTCACCTGAATTACATAGCATTTTGGCAATTGATGCCTCATGAACGTATGCAAATTTTTATATATTATATATGATATATATTTGGTAGTCCATATGGTTGATGATTCAATCATTTTTTGACTTTCCACAATTTTTTCGTTAGGGATAATCTACTCTAGATCACGCATGAATTTGTGACGCCAGCACACATAATATCCCACATAACACCTACATACAATACGCCTATAAATGTTTTTCAAATATATAATTTACATAAGTCGATAAAGTGGCAAAAACGTAGTTCATGGTTGACGTAACAATGACTACGTGTGTTGTGTACTTTCAGGCAGAGACTTGAAATTATTTACGGTTCTCAATACTCGCAAAGCATGCTCTATCTATTCAACAACAGAATCTTGCCTATACTGAAATGTCTCAGAGCCTAAATAGCAATTACAAATGTTTTGATTACACCTTCCTAGTTTTTACGAGCTTTCTCCTATTGACCATTTATATGCAAAGAGTCTTACCTGTCATAAGCGCAATCTGTTGTACTAACAGTTGTATCATCTTCATTGGGAATCCACCATCTGAATGGAGGGTCGTCATCCAAGTGCACCCCACTCCAACACGAAGAGCAAACGTAACTGCAGTCTGCGTTCAAATCTCCTCCAATAATGGCATCCTATCACCGGGGCGAAATAACGAAATTAACAGTGTAGTAATGTAATAGTAAAACTTCTTTGACAATTTGTTACTAATAGGATTATGTAAAAAATGATTTCGACAGGTGTAACGTTAACAAAATTTCATCTTACTTCATTAAATTTTATTCAATTTGTGGGTATGTTGTACATGCATAACAGAATAATTATACCAGAATAAGTCAATTAGTAATCGACATGGCATTTTATTTGTAAGAAATTTACAAGATGAAGTTACAGAAAATTCCAACGCGTTTTGGCAACATGGCTGTATAAGATACGCGACTGATGGATAGAACTTTAGCAAATTTAACAAATTTCTTAATTAACTTAAAATTCTCTTCAACTTTATGGGCGAAGCAGTGATAGCATTTCATAACTAACGATATCGAACAAAGAAGCAACTGGAAAACATTATTTGTAAATTGTGTAATATTATGATAAGAACAAGAAACTATAATTGAATGATATTTGGCGAAGTAATTTTATACGATGATGTTTAGATAAAGCAGAGCAAATATGTCATACCACAAGTCCCGTCATTGTGATTGAGTCATCGTAGACATCAACCAACGCGTTCATCTCGTTAACCGCGTCATCTGGTTTGGCATGAAGTGGGATAACGTTGAATATATCTTGGTCTCCTAGGACAAAATAACCAAAAATTAGCTTCGCGAGGAGAGTCGCTAATGAAAAGCTGGCATAACGATTGTTCATGAAACCTAAAGTATTCATAAATTATTATTACAACACCGACGTCATTAATACAGCCCTATACTCATGAGACAATGCTCAAACGACACGTTGATTCATACCAAAACTTTTAAATGCCATGGTTATAATTAAATACTCTCAGTATTAAAAAGCCCGCCACACAAGTAAAATATTCTATGCAACTCATGTGAGAAACGTGAAAATGTTGATTGAATGATCCTCGGAGTTATGTAATTTACAAGCATTGTTATATTCCCAGACTTGTTCATGCTGGGAAATATTTTTCTGTCCCATTCCAATCCCATCCCATAGCAATTATGCCTGTCCCATTCCATCTCATTGGAATGAAATTCAATAAAAATTGTTAAATTTAGGTTTAGCGTCTACTACATTGAACCATATGTACGAATGGACATGCAAAACAACATAATTTACGGACTTTGTTGACTTTATATTCATAACTATTATACATGTGTCCATCAGCCCCTTCACGAAGTATATTTTTAATGCTGCATATATTTTGCTCTTTATAACTAACAAGAGAGCCATGTCCAATATATATATACATTTCCCCCAAAACCATACGGTTTTTGTGTCCCACGTGTCCCATGGAAAATACAAAAGTGAGCTGTCCCATCCCACTCCATCCCATGGGACGTTTCCCATGGGAATCCCATCCCCACGGACAAGCCTGTATATTCCGTATCTCATACGAGTGGGAAAAAACTCCCATATTTCGTTAATTAATTAACAAATGTAGGAAAAGAAATTTAGTTAAAATGTATGATTTTTATGGGAAACACCCTATATAATATACACTGCATAATACGGATCATTTAGCAGTGAAAGCATTAGTATTTGTTAAGTGAAAAAATCGGACCCGGGTATTGAGCGGTTCTTTGGAACATAACCACGTATGGCTCTCTTTCGAAGACGTCTCGTCTATCATTGTACTCGTATTGCATAACCGGTTGCAGGCGTTCATGTCTGAAAAAAAAATTCTATATAACAAAATTGAGCATAAAAAGTGCAGAACACGGCCACAATAATTGTCTGTATACATAGGACCTCAATTTCACACATATATATTATATATATCTTGTGGCGGTGTGGTATCATATTTTTCTTCAAGTTACTGGACAATAAATGGAACTGTGGATTGCTTTGCTTAAGTTTTGTTGTTGTTGTCGCGATAACACTATTGCGATAGTTAAAAAGAGAATTTTCTCATAAAAGTCTATAACTTCCACTGTTTTTAAATTTTTACTGGAAGGTATGGGGTCCATTGCATTAGCCCGAAATTTTCTAATTTTGAATTATTCGTCTCCAATTGGGGTTTAGACGAGCTATTCCGACGAGGCAATCAAGAGTTATGAACGCACCACTTTCATATTTACCTATTTTAGCATTAGACCATTGATGCTGTTGTATCGTTTGAAAGGCTAGTCTGTTGTCAATAATAATCAAGTCGGAAAGTTATTTCAAATGTACCAGACAGTTATACATATGATTTATGAGATGGAAAGGCATGTTACTTGTAAATATATCCGTACTGCTCTTTACTGGATGTTCGTCCTACTCTGGTTCCAAGTATGGATGAGTACGCGCCATTTGATGCCGCATTAACGTCATCGACCAGCTGAGGAAATGCGATTTCATCAATGTCACGAATCTCTTGAATAACGATCAAGTCATATCGCTGAACAATCTTGAATTAGAATTATTTATTTCAAGTTAAAATGTTGTTTCGTACAATAATTCAATTGTGTTCTATATAACCGTCATGAAAACGTTTTTGCCTCTTCGACATAGTCAAAGTTTTGGGAGTCTTGGAGTCAGAACTTTTTTCAGCTCCACAGCCTCGAAATAACAGTAACTACACTTCATTGTAAAACAAAATATGCAGTAACATAATAGTACTTACGTCGACAAGAACTTTTACCACATCCGGTTTGCTCATTTTGCTTTTTCCAAAAACTTGGACGTTGAAGAACGATATGAAGAGCGGATTACTTGTTGCTTTCTCAACACTTGACCCATATGTGGCAAGAAATAGACCACAGAACAAAATAATTTTGGGAATCATTTTGATATTTACGGCTGTGCTGTAAATGTGACTAGAATTTTCAATTTGCTTGTACTTATGCTCAAGTTTCAAATTGCCTACATTTTACATATTTTAAATATTGCCAATGGATTAATTTAGACACCGCCCATCTTAAAACGACCTTTATAACCGTTTTTCATCAAGTGTGTGTGTCACCTTCCAAACTAAGCTCGGGATATCCAACCACAAATACATAGAGAGTTTTTATTATTGAAATGATCGGAATCTTACCGGTTATTATAGGAACTTCCCACTAAAATCATTAAAAGTGAGTTTTGAACTCAATTCTTATTCAAGGGCATATCGCCGTCAATTAATTGTGGAAATAATTTTCAGAAACATAATTCCTTTCCATAATTTATCTAATATCTAATCATTTCACAGGTAAATTTTCATTACAAAAAAAATGACTATAGTACTGCAAAATGAAATATTATTTCATAGCAAGTCCTTCAAGTTCAGCGAAGCTTTTGCCTAACGTCAACAGAATTATAAAGTTACCATAAATATGTTGCATACGTGTTTAAATACCCTACCCGAAGTAAAACCTTGTTGACATCAAACCCACACTATGAAGCGACTTGTAAAATTATCATATTTTTGTAATTCTTGACATTCTGTCAATTTAATTTATCTACAGTACAGAGTAAAAACAAACGTGGGTGATGCCTAATGCATTGGATAATTGAACAACGCGACTATAACTAAATAAACTACATGATATAAATGACTGATAATATTTAAAAGTGAGAACCTTGGCAATTCAGCAGATGTTGTTCAGAAATAGAATCAATTTACGCACAACTTGTTATTTATTTATCTCAAACGGGACACTGTAGGCGTGTTTGGCTGATGGTTTGCATTGCGTCATTATCTTTACTATATTTGTTACTCCTATTTGTGTCCTTTAGCTAAATCCTTCCCGCTTTCCTGTTCCACGACTTATTAAGTATTAGGGGTTGTTACTCTGATGACTAATACGTCCAGAGCAATTAAGTCATTGTTCAATAACTAACTCAGGTGGAGTTTAACGGGTTGGTTCAAGCTATCTTATAACCAGTAATCTGGTGAATTTCTATATTGTTATTGACAATTTTGTAAAATCCATTCAAACGAATAGTACGTTGTCTAATGTCTGGTATTATTAGCACTTTCTTTGCATTCTTCATGCTGTTGCTTCTGCTCAAACACTAATTTTCTTACAAAAGTTATTAAGATGCTACTTTTCACACGAGAAGAGAGAAGAATATAACTGAAAGAAAATAAATTTATAATCAATTTAAAAACGATAGCATTCATAAACTTCAATATTCTTGTTAACATTTAGTAGAAAAATGTAGTTTGTTTAATTTCGTCATATGTGCTCGTTGATAAATTTTTCACACAGTCTTCGTTCAAAAATTCATAGGCAAATAGTTTACGAAAATATTTTCTATATCGGTGTAGTTGCGTAAAAACATGAGAAGCTTCGTGACAACTCAATATTTAAATTGTGACGCGTAAATCTTTTCGCTTTAGTTTGTATGTGTGTTGAATTGTTAAGCGAGACTAGATAGTGAGAACGTTCCAACGCGTTTCCCGGAATATAAGCCATCCCTTAATAAGACCTAGTCGATAGCAAGAAATCTGTTCTACGCGTTTCAAATGATTAATTTAAAACGTACAAAAGAGGAAATAGTTTAATTACCTGAGGTAACGTGAAGATCTCGCCACGATTCATATTGTGTATATTTGAAAATCACGTGATTCTCTATTTTGTAATTTTGTTTTTGATAAATGAAAAAGACATTCCCCCAAAATAAGCCCTAGTATTATTTTTTGAAAGAAAATTGAAGTAAGACCCTGTCTCATATTCGGGGAAACACGGTTTTGATTGCACAACTGCCCATTACGCAATTATTACCCTTATACTTGATGTATTCCGATTTGGCGAAGCTCATGGTCGGATTCTCATACATAATCGTTGGTGTAAACCAGGGGTGGCCAACCTGCCTTCGACTAAAATCTTCAAAATAGATCGCGATCGACTGATCGGTAGTAAGGTCTTACACAAACACGAATGGGCACTGAATGTGCAGATAACCTCACACGCCCATACAAAAAAGTCCACCGCTGCCAATAAGAAGGCTTTGAGGGCACATTATTATTAAAATCGACTCAAAATTTGTATTTTTTGTGCTCCATTTAGGTTGTTGATTTGAATATTTAATTGCACCCGGAGTAAATGCTTCATTATTTATTTATTTAAATCATACAATTCAGGTAAAGGGCTTTTATTCGTAAGCGTTGAAAATTCTTCAAGAAACCTTGCCAAGTATTATCCAAATAGCGAAAAATAAATATTGAATGAATGTTACATGACTGCGCAAACTTCAGTAGCCTATCTAATTTACAATTTTCTCCAAACGCGATTCTTTGCTTGCTTAGAATTAGAACAAAATTAGGCATTTTGATGCCACTGCTAACATTGCGACTAAAATTTATCACACTACTCTTGGAGTGAGACAATGACTTTCGCATACTGCGGAAGTTATTGTAGGATCGTTTGTCAGTCGAGAGATAGACACGCGATTTTCGGCATTTCCTTTTAGAACCTTGACAGCGGAAAAACTTGCATTTGTCACGTATTAATATGCCTTTTCGGGCTTGCTCAGACTCAAATACTGTATGTGTATATTGCGCATGTAAAGTATTGTATTCTTTCTGTTGGAAAACACACAACTTGTTCGAGGCAATATTTGGTGGTATTTCAACAAAACTCAACATCAGACGCGATCGACGTGTTGGCCACCCCTGATGTAAACTAATTGGTGCAAGTTATAAAATCTAGTTGGATCATATTTTGCGGAAAAATATTTGTTTAAATTGACCACGTTTGGTTTAGTCAGATTCGGCTTGATGACATTGCTATCTGAAAAATTTCGATGAAAAAATACAGAGTTTTCAGCGTTTTCAACTACATTTTTCTTCGTATCGCTTATATTTTCCATCTCGGAGTGCCTGGTTTCTTCTGGTAGCGAGTAGCTTAACGTCACCTGTCCAAGACAAGAGAATAACGCATTTCTCAAAAAATATTTTCAGCATAGCATTGAGCGAAATGAAACGGAGGAGGGTGCATGTTAAGATTGTCGTTCAAAACCGACCTGGAATACCTATATATATATTCAATGGCGAATTCAAGTGCTCGACAAGGAAAGAGAAAAAGGTGATGTTATAATGCAAAACTTAATAATTAATTAACAGAATAGTACAAAATGTAGCGTAATAATAATTTTTGGCCACGAGAGAGGGCACGAGTTAAGGGATTTTCCCCCGACCCTTGGACCCAGAAAAATTATTCATATCATAGAAAAATTATTATGTTCACTCAGAGAGTATTTTCGCGGAAACGAGCTTCAGTTGTTACGTCACTGTTAGATTTTTATTAATTGGCCTATGTAACGAAATAAAAGTATACTCAGAAAACCTCCAAATTTCTCTTTCGCCATGTTTATCATGCATTTTACACTTACTTGTTGCTGTAATGAAGATTTCGGAATCAAAGTCAAATTCTCCATATGAGTGTGCACGAGATTCGTAGTTATAAGAGACACATTAAGTTGGTGTGTTATAATGTAGCCGAATACACAGTCGTCGGGTAAATTAATGGATGCAGCCATGTGCATGAGCCGTGATCCGAGAGCATATTCTTTCATGTCTACAGCAAGTTGGCGAGATATGCAAAAACCTGCACCGCCCAATGCATAATGAAATGCTACTCGCTGAAATGTTGATTGTGACATAACCCACGTTGTCTCATTTGTCGTTTCGTTAAAACCGAAGCTCTGAAAAATATTTCCCAATGCAATTATTTTGAAAAATCGCTAATCGCGTTATAAAGCTATAACGCGGACTGGGATTAGGACCTTTGGTATTTTATTTATGCCTCGAAGGGGCGAAGTAAAAATCGCAACAGGACCTATATCATTAATTGGTACCATAACTGTACGGGAAGACAAAATGAATCTTTCTACGAACAACCGTTTCTGCAAGCAGTCAGGTACAAGTTATTTGGCGTCGTCATAAACCTACAAAATGTGTTACCTCACTGAATACTGATGAGGTGGAGGACAGGAGCTGACTGCTGACTAACCAAAGAGTCGAACCAAGAATTTACAGTATGCTGTACCAACATATTTGACCATCAACAAGTCTATGTGACTGGCGTACTCGATGACACAAAGTGATGGTTTGCACGCGATTGACGCGAAGAAGAAACGAGGTAACTTGCTATATTAACACCATGTTGAGACGATAACTCAGAAAAATTGATGACATTTTTGTCCTAACAGTTTGCTTTTATAAGAATCTCTTACTTCTGGCTCCACATTTTCCGTGTCGTATGCCATTGCCGTAATTGGAGTTTTTGATGGAGTTCGTCCAATATACATGACATCATCTTCTGAATGAGAACTCAACAAGTTTGTAAGCATTCCAATGTTAACAAAACTATCATCATCAAAGTGACAAAACCATAACTGAAATAAAAATTATATTAATCGTTCGTAGGACTACTATAAGTTGTCTGTTTCAAGACCATGCCAAAATCCAAGACTTCTAAATTATCAAGTCATATGTGGATTATCAGACGTCTGTGACCTGAAATGTTCATTTAAAGTTTAAACAAACAAATAGGTTGATTTGAATCTAATTTTCCTAACACAGAATTAGCATCTGGAATGGGAGTCAAAAATTTCTCGTATCCATGATCAAGAGTAGACAGACACACTTACCTTGTTTGAAGACAGAAAAGTCCGATATTCCCAGTGTAACTTACACAAAAGTGCCCATTTGTGTTCTGAAGTTGTCGGGCAATGAGTATTTAATATATGAGGTTTTGCATTTTTGAAGTGATCTCTGATATATTGCACCAACCATCCATCTTCTTCGTCTGTGTGTTTAAATTGACATAAAATTTAACGAAATATTTCGAGTCAACGGGAAGGTGAGTTAAATATCTTTGCTGGGTATATATCAGAATACATGCAAATATATTACAATATTGCCATTTTAATTTTGCTAAAGTCCACTCAGGATAAACACTATTCCTGATAGCACAACTTTTTCTGTATATAGCAAGTGAAGTTGTAATTGATGTCATTCATCACTATGACAAGTGAAACTTTGTTATCATTTAACCTTCGAAGTGTTTGAATCTCATTCAGCAACTGAAAATTTACCTGTAATAATCCATGTATTTTCTGGAACTTCTGAAATCCATGTATCCAATAGGATTTTTAATCTGCTTTTGTGATATTTATTTGTTGTTCGAACGCTCATAAATATTCCGTTTTTTACTGAGTAAAATAGCAAAGTTAAAAATCGTTAATAATCAAAGTTTACAATATAGTCAGCTCATCGTCGTATGTACCTGACGGAGATCACGGAACAGAACAGAAATCATTGCGCATTGCGTTAAATGTGCCTTTTTCATAAATATTAATTTGTCGATGTAATTAACTAAGCACTGAGCACAGTATATGTATAATGCAATCGGTATTGGTGGTTAGAAATAGGTTGAACAAAAATATCGAGCTTTTGGTCATCAAGGAAACAGTAGATCCCGAACTGCTGGCGTAAAAATACTCCCTTTTCAAACTTTTGCAAACGATACGCAATCTTGTTTAGCTATGTGAAGCTCTCTAGAGAAGGTTCGATAGAATTAGGTACCGGTAATTGGTTAAATTGCGGTAGATTTCTGCTTATTGTGGGTAGAGCTTCCCTTTTTGGGTTCAACTTCCTTTTTTACCAAATCAGTATACGTATATATATATATATATAACATATATTGTAAATCTAAAAAATAAGTTGCTCACTCACTTGTTTCGAACTTGTGATTATCATGATGATTTTTACGACTTAATCTGAAAAACAGCAAGGATAAAAAATTTATGTATAATAATCTGATTGGGTGAGGTACAAATAAAGTGAAAGATTCCAAATAATAGTCGTATGAAAGCTGATTTTGATACTAATTTTTATACAAACAAGACATTCGAGTGAATTTATTGAAAATAAATAAATTGAGTAAAATTTAAATAGACATAAATTGCACGAATTCAAATTATCATTTGAATCCTAAACAATTGATGATGATAAATTTTATATTCGAATCGATTGTGAAATTTTTCGGATATCCGGCAAGTGAAACAATTTGTTGTTCAAATTTATAAGTATAATGTAACCGAACTCATCCTAAATATAGCAGACGGAGGGGGAGACTTCATGCTCGGTCTATCTGCAATAATAGTTTATCAAAAAGTAGTTAGCTTAGGCACGTGGCAAGCACGGAGGATTAACAAATAAGAACGCTACCTTGTGAAAACTTCTTCTGGTTTCAAAATAATCAATGGTGCACCTGGGATAGCATCGATACTAAGTTTCTCGTCACGATATCTTCCAAATTCCATAGGTTGGTCCATATCATAGTTTTCTTCCACATCCGGTACATTGAAAAACGACAAGATCGTAAAGAGCAGATTTAGTATGGTTAAAGCGGAAATCATCTGTACTACACCAAGCACAGATATTTTCGATCTAACATTTTGTTTGGGTATAGATAGCATTATGTGAATTCCTTCGTATTATATATACATATATGAAAAATATAGTGGATTTTATTTTCTACTAAACCCTATTCGATGGTAGTAAAACTAGCATTTGATTGTAAACCAGTCGAAGGGGAGCTATGCACAAATCGAAAATATGAATGCATTTTTAACAAAGGGACAATGCTCAAATGTATGGACACGAAAATCAATTGACTAATCTGGGTATCGCAATGTCATCAAAATGTTGAAAAATTGTACAGAATGTATGAAATGTTGAGAGAATTGTCCGTGAATTATGAAAAAAATTAAAATTGTGTGTGGAATATCGGCCCCGTATAGCACTTCGAAAAATTTTTTTAAAAAAATAAAAATAACCAACAACCTCAACATGGCCAACAACCACAGTTTTGACCCCCAAAACATTTGGGTCACTTCGTATTCAAATTTAAGTTATCCTTCCTCATTCTGAAAATAGCTGACAGGAATATTCTATTAGTAGTAATAAATCGTTAAGTTGGCAAAAACATAAACTCACCAATGGTCTCGATCTGACAATCACGTATTTATAAATATATAGATTTAGTATCAAGAACTTTAGATTTAGATAATAGATCCTGTGTTTCCATAGCATTTCTATTCATGCTATTTACTATATTTTCTCAACTCTTCCTACCTGACTAATACGACTCAGGCTAAATTTGACAAGCAAAATGAACCCGCGGGCGATGTCTTCTAAATGCTACAACTCGTGTATATTTTAGTATGCGAGGAACATTTCAACAGCGACACTTTGAACTAATTCTGCCAGGGATGTGTTATGTATAGTGTATACTACGAATGTGCGCAATTGATCTTTACTGTGACATTTTGGTATATTTGCTCAACTGTTTGTCATGGAATGTGCAAAAAACATATGTTTAGTTTGAATCGGATAAAAATAAAATATTAATTCAGCTTTCAAAATTGAAAAAATTCATATAATTTTTTGGTTTCATTACTAGTAATTGTTTGTTGATTTCGTAAAAACATCATGGATTTCAACTTCATTTTAGAAAATGGTTGAAGTTATTATTGATCAATTCACTAATGAATTTTATTGAAAAAAGTTTCCGCTATTTGCTTGAATAACATTTTATTACCATGCCATTCAGCTTCCGAATTTTTGAAATAATCTATAATAACTCTGCTGACATGGCGAAATATCTCACGAATCAAAAACATTAAAATACGGGTGAATAATTTTCTTGAAAAAGACATCAAATACTATCCCACAAGCAGAGACCTTTGGTAACATGGGCATTGCTACAATAAAAGCTTCACCGCTTCCAACTGTGAGAGAACAATATTGGTAACTTTAAAAATCCTAATATTTTACGTATTTTTTTTTCTTATTATGCACGAAATATCACAATTTCAATTGTACTCGCCTTAATTTTTTAACTCGTACTCATTTTTTAACTTCTAAGCTTTTTTATTGTCATTTCTTTTAAACATCGTTGTAATAAATGAACTGAGATGACATTTCAAGGTTTACTGAAATTGCACATTACTTTCGAGGATCGAAAAATTCAATCACATTGAAGCGTTGACTTAATAGCCAACATCCCGACTGTTCACTTACCGACTTCTTGAATATTAATGATGTAAGTGCTCAAGCATAAATGCGAGCGTCCAACCACAAGATCGATGTAAAGCGACACGCGATTCGAATAAATATTGTACAAAACCCTTCAGCAACAAAACCCACAAGTTTGTCTAGCAATTTTTTGCTATTTTTTCTACAAAAAATGTTTATGACCTTTACTTGGTGTATATTACGTCTTGTTTAATATTTTCTATGGAACCGGTAATTAAATCCTATCAGAATTTAAAAAATATATGTGAAAAATATATTGATATTTGAGTTGGCACAGAAATGAGATCTTGAAATATTGTACCGAATGTATGAAATGCTGAGAGAATTGTCGTGAATTATAAAAAAGTAAAATTTTGTGTGGAATATCGGCACCGTATAGCACTCCCAAGAAAAATTTTGAAAAAATAAAAATAACCGACAAGAATAATATTTCATGGTAAATAATATCAGCTGAAATGTTAGAAAAGTCCAAGTTATAAGGTGGTTTGACTCCAGAACTATTCTGTTTATACTTTAGCATTGCAAAATATTTAATTCTTATTTTGAGACAATCTTTTTTGCACGAGTTGACGTTTACAAATTTTATTTCCATGGTCATAACTATATCATATGCTGGATTCAAATATTTTATCAAAAGCAAAAGTACTGCAAAACTACTGACAGCTAATTTTAGCCTAGACTTTGACAGCTTTACAGGGGCTAATTTTTGAAAACTACAACTAAACTAGATTCCTTGAAAGGAAATATGAACATTCCCTAGTTTGATTTATACCTACGGCTATAGAAAACACAACTAAAAATTGACAAATAGCTAACAAAACTACAAAAATGAGATAATTTTTATCATCATATACCTGAAAATCTGTCTGAGTGAAAAAAATTGTATAAGCGCAGCAAAAATTTCAACTGTTACGTCACTGTTGACATCTTCATTATAGCCATTTTTTACAGAAGTAAACCAAGAAATTGATGCTTAGGGAAACATCTATTTATTGTCGACAAACGAGTAATTTCTTACGCTAAAAAATGTATTTCCAAAAATTATAACGTTCTGACAAAATTATAGAGTTCAAGGTAACATGATTTTTCAAAAAAATGATTCACTTAATAATACAAATACGTAGTTGAATACGCTTCTTGCGATTTATATATTGAACAAACTCGCTTATGCTCGACTTCTTCAATCGATGTAAGCTTCCTGCTGAAACACTTCGTGTTTTGGTATTATGAATATTTCTATATTCTATACAAAACAAAGGTTTGGAATACCGAAGTGTTATTTGAAGTGAGTGTTCCCAAATTGTAAAGAAAATCGAACACACTTTGTTTTCGAAAATTTCCAAACTGATTACAAGTCACGTAGAAGATTATCGGTATTATAATTCCAACGCATTGCTTAAATATCATCTCATCAAATTATATAAATTAATGATGAAAGACATACTTGCAACAAATTTATGAGATGCAATCTTTAGTTTTCGATAATTCCCAGCTGATTGTAGTTAACAAAGGTTTTTATTAATATTATTCATGACTTACTGTTCAACAGAAGCGTTACCGTAAGGAGATGTTATTATCGCGTTAAATAAATGTACTGTATCGATCGTTGATATGATGTGACAGCGACATTTTTTTATAACTTTGAAAATATAGAGCTGGTAACACACAGAAAAATCGATGCTTGTATGTAGTAATACATCGTCACAAATTTCATGATCGTTCCGAATGAGTTGGTGATTTATATGGTAAGTGTTTATTCTATTATCTTTTTATATTATTAGGAAAAGTATAATCGTCTTTTATATAATATCTATAATCAAATATTACGCAGTTATACACTCATTAATTTTTTACAGCAGATCGACAGAGATTTACCCGTTGAGTGTACAATAACTTCTCAATACTATTTTGTCATAACCCAATTCACTGAAATTGATTATTTATATTTAGTCACTACAAAATGCATATAATTTGTTGCGTTTTGGTAGCTTGTCAACATAACCCCATTTCAGATTGGAACTGTAACCAAATGGGTTTTTTCAATTAACTGCCCTTTTTCTGAGTAATATTGAAAGTGAAATAAGTACTCATGTTGTTATCTCGTTCATCACGAATTTACTTAACTTAAAGGAAAGTGCACACGCCAGTATATGAATAAAACATTAGCTAACGAGGGTTTTAAAAACCTTTTCGCGGATGCTCTTTTAAATAATGAATTAAAACAACGGGTATTCCTTTTCTTGTCATCACTTGTTTTGCCTCGAGAAATAAGGAGGATAATTTTCGCTGTTGATATAATGAACTCGTCCAAAAGGGAAATTTTAAATTGAAATTACGTTTATTTACTCTTATTTTATATCTCAAAGCGCATAATAGTTCATCAAGGCAATATCGAACCTAATCCGGGATAATATCATTTTAATATCAAGTGGTTGAATTATTAAAAACGAAGATGATGGGAGCGGTGAGAATGGGCTCGCCCACAAATGGTCCTATGTTCAGGTAAGATGTCACGTGAGATTGTTGATGATAACACCCGTACTTTCGATGTCAAAGTGAATAGCTCTAATCGCAAGGTAACCTTTATAAGACGACTAGAAAATTTATTGTGTCAGGAGGATTATTGTCGTAGAAACAGGACGACATTTCGATAGGTCAGTTTAAGTTTGGATTTTAAGTAAATTATTTTGCCTGGTACGGATAGACGAAAACAGGTATATATATTCTTTAACAGTGTGCAACGTGATAGAGAGTGAACAGTAAAGAACGTCGAAAGGATATATAAATATATATATATATATATATTTGATTAGGTTATTATATTACGATTTTATTTTTATACGATTTTGAGTAGTAAGTGGAAATCTAACAAAATGCGATCAATATACATTCTGAATTTAATATTTACCTTCACCATTAAAATCGACGCAATCGTTTTTGAATGTTCATACTGGTAAAAAAATCGGACCTCCTGAAGTATGCGCACCAAGATGGCGCACAACCTGAACTCAGGTTGTGTACCCGGTTAGGGTTCAGATTGTGCGACATCTTGGTGCGCATACTTCAGGAGTACCAAAAAATCAGTATTTGGTTAGGTGATGAGACTTACTCGACATTGCATATTAAATAAACAAGAGAGAAAGCACATTATGATTATCTGAATAGCCGAGGATGTTACTTATAAAGAACGAATACGTATAGGCGTACGATGCCATTGAAAAATGTTTTCGACACGTTTTACATTTGGGAAGCATATGTGGGAATTTATGTAATCCGGTGGCGGAATTAAAACAATCCAACTAAAATCGATGCTTAAATGCGTCAAGTCGGCGAGAACAAGCCATTAACAAAGCCGTAAATTCTCCATGAAATCAGCGAACCTCTTCACATTAAAATCATTATTTCACAAGCATCATTTATAAACTAAAAATCAATGATGCCCAGGATTAAGGAACACGATAGATATTTGCCTTTCATGAAAAATAATTCGTCAGAATTCAGAGAATATCATACTGTATGTAGCTTCTATCAGAAGTCGGTTAGATATGTGATTTTTCTAGAAATCAGGCAGAACTTATTATCTATAAATTTATTTTACACTGATGTTGAAAGACAAATGCGTTTCGGAAAATTTTTAGTTTTAAAAAAGGGATTCTTACGATTATGGCTGGAATCACTACTATGTCTCCACAAATTTATCTAAGCACAAAAAACATAAAATTAAAAATTATTTAGGAAAAATGAGTTTTTTTTGTCAATTTTTTTGCTTGACAGTATTTAGAATGGATCAGAAATAGCAGTAACTTATTTTACATTGAATATATATTTCAACTGTCTAGCTATAGGAAACATCGAAAGCGTTGAAGTTAATTATTTACAATTCATGCTTTAATGCTATATAATGGTAATCCAATTAAGCAGTCAGTATAATTAATGTATTGATGACCTGATTTTTTTTTTGCATTTCATTCCTGCTTTCTCGATCATTTATCTGTTCCATTTTAAAATAAAAGTCACGCTTGGAAGTTTACCATTATTTACAAATTTTGTTCATTGTTCTTGTTTTAAATCATTATTTAGAACTGACGTGCTGGGAACAAAATCAGGGGCATTTACAAAGATGAGATATCTTCCAAACAGAGTTCCAGATGAAACAAAACATCTCGTTGATTCGGTGCTTGATCTGGATACAAGTAAAGTACTGAACACTCTTGGAATATTCAAGGTGAAACAAGATATAGATTGTAATTGTATAAGAAAAAACATTTTGATGCCAGACCCTATGACCACCATATCCCATGCCGAGGACAACGGTATAGGCTATAAAAGACAAAAGGGAACAATAATCCTACGTATTGGTGATTGTCTTTTCAGAAAATTGTTAGGAGTGGGATAAAAAGGCGCATAACAATGACAATGAAATGGCCGCAAACAGGATGATGACAAAAACAATACATATAGTTGTAAATTGAGCCAGGTTATTCGGTTCAGGTCAAGACAAACGAACCATATTTTTCAGATCATTTCGTCTCAAAGTCTCTGTATCCATTTAAATTATTGTGATACACTTTTGTTCTGGAAATCAGGCCAAAACTTGATTTGCAACACTTGAATTGCCTATATATATTTATAGCTTTTATATCTTATTAGTATAGTTCAGGGGTTCTCAACCCACGGCCCACCGATGCGTATTCTGCGGCCCCCCAAAGATCTTTGATGAACCCAAACATATATCATAATATCTGACGTAACGAATATAAACGATTTTTAAATTCGGTATCAATCTTCTCAACCCTTACAGTGCATGATAAGATTGTGGATTGTGTCATCACAGCAAATAGATTAATTACGTATTGTTACGTAAAAATTGAGTTACTTAGCTCGCTCATTGCACCCTCTATCTAACTTCGGAAATGCGCTTCACAACGGTATTGCACTGCGTCCAGCTTGAAGGCAGTAAGTCATGGCGACAACGAAGAAGAAAGTAAACGACGGAAACAGGGTTTTTAACTCTGCGTGGAACAATAAATTTGCTTTTGCAGAGATAAATGGAAAACCCTCTCATTTGTCAACGAAGCAAATTTACAACGACACCACGAACAGCTTCACCCAGCGTTCAAAACTGCATATCCATCTGGTTGTGATCTTATGAAAAAGATTTTAAAGCACTTGTGAACAGAATGCAGACTCAGAACTCTTATTAAGAATAAAACAATTGTAAAACGTCTTTGTAATTGAAAAATAATTGTTGCTGTGAGATATAATCATATTTTTTCTATGTTGTAAAATTCTGTCATAGTTCTCGTTAGGGGAGAAATTGCAATTGCGAACTTACGAATGCTATCCATTAACTATGTTTTTAAATGCATAAAAAGGAAAACAAAAAGCATATTATACATCAGTATCGGACTAATAAATGAATAAATACATGGTAATAATATTCTGTGGCCCGTCGCATCGTTTGTGGTCAAAATGCGGCCCTTTTACCTGGGGGGTTGAGAACCCCTGGTATAGTTAGTAGTATAGTTTTATATAACGCGTACAGTTGTATAATTTAGTTATGGAACAGTTATGTGAGACATGTGTTTGGTTTTGCATTGGAATTTTTTTTTATAATTTCAGCTCTTCTTGGTTGTTCCAATGCTCATCCTCGGGATAATATTAATCAGCATTAACAGCGCGGAAATTCAACAAAATGAAATAGAAGATTCTATTGTAGCTCGTCGTAACTTGACACATGTTATTTTACTGTAAGTTAATAAAATAATTTGTGCCGTTCGATTTTCACAACCCGGGCAGCAACAATATATGGAGAAATCACAGACTTCTCGGAGTCGCCAGTGAAAACCTTAACTGACCTAAACTCTGTAACATTTTCGACCTAAGCAACACCGTGCTTGCCCAATCGGATAGTCGGAGTCACAACTTTCATCGATCCGGATCAGTCGGATTTTTGAATGACCCAAAGTTTAGATTTGAAAGGAAAATATTTCCTATATGGTTTGAATACGGTTACCACGATGCCTTATTGCAATAGAAAGGTTACTCTTAAAGCTCTGATTTGGGTGTTTTGCTGTAACACCAACCCTTGCGCTAATAAACTTCATTGAGAATACATAACAATTGCATAAAATTGTAAATATTCTTAGAATATCTCCACTGCCGGATGTTTCTTGACAGCAAAGCATTTATGGACATTTGTTCAATTATGTATGTTGTTTATCAATCCTCGTTTATGCCAACCGATTGGCTCACGTTACAGTATTTTCGCTTGTACTGAAGTAGCCTACATGTAGCCTATCAGAAACAAACAAAGTACATTATCTAATATTTCCTTTTTGACGAAAATGTGATTTTAAATAGATTTCTCAAATTATATGAGTGAGGTGATTTAGGCTTGCCAGGAGATATTTGAGTAAAGTAATAAAGAGTAAAGATGAATTATTAGCTTTTAGCTTTTTCCTTACTATCGAATAATTTGCGTGAAAAAGGTCACACTTCAAAAATTTTGTTGACATAAAAACCTAACTGAAGAAAAGAATCATCTATTTTGAAAGAGCGCGCGTTTCAGTATTCAAATATATTTGTATTTTGATATATTTTGCCAGATTTTACGCACCCTTACCAGCAATTGTATGAATAAATAAATGATGTCATATGGCAGAATCATTTTCCGAAAAACATCGTACGTTGTTACATGTCGATGACTTTCAGCCCGTGATGTGTATGCAAATTGAGCCATCGTGTGCAAAACATAACAAGTGAGGAATATTTGCCAAAGAGTGCAGTGATTTAACTATGCTACGATAAAAGATGTATCATTACACGATTCGTAATTCCCTTTAACTATTCTGTATTTGTACTATATGTTTTCCTCCAGGGAAGATGAACCAGAGGAATTGAGACCTACACGAATTGGGAACGAAAGTTTAGCGCCTGTGTGGACAGGAATCATGGTGAGAATAACCAAATTTAAATATTTTATTCAATCCCCTCGGTTAGCTTTTATGGCGAAGTTTTTTTCATTCACATATCATTCAGTCAACGCGACCTCCGTAGTCAAGGTACATAAAGGCATGTCGAAATAGAGAACTATTATTTCTATTCGATTATCTTTTCAACTTGCAAATATAAATGACAAAATTTACATTTAAAAGTCCACGGATAGTCATGTTGAAATACTAACTTCTCTATGTATACACCTTTTCACTTTTTTGACCTGTCTATCTTGTATTTACAGTTGGCGGCATCAGCTGCAACGGATTTCATCGCCGTTTGGAGGCGTCGCGGTTCAACGGTACACGAAGCTTAATTTCCTTTGTGTTTTCCTGTACTTTAGAATTTAGATGAATCTATTTTTGAATTTATTTAATGGCGAGGTTTTTGTGGTTTTCAAAACTTATAATTATCCAAGATTATCTCAAAATGAAAAGAATATCTTAATTTAATCATCATTTATAATTAACCTTCTGTACCAGTGAGAGACTACCGTACCAGAAAAACTGTACAAAGAATAAATACGCTTCGTCTTCAAAATTACAAACTTATCTTTGGGAGATTGGATATAATACAATAATTGCCAGAAAAGATTTCAGAAAGTCTTGGAAGCCCATTAGCCCATTTAACATGACGTCATAATATTCTTGGAACAGTTCAAATTTTATTTTTTTTATTTTTTACTTGGGGCATCTAATTGAGGCAACTCTCATTATGAGTATAATTGTGTGTTTGTGTAGCTGCTCTAAAATTAATAGACATTGTCTACATAGCAGCGCAAATTATCCCAATCCGGAAAAGATTATATAAATTAAGATTGAGACTAAATATATATCCAACTTTACTCCTCTTAATTACTGTGAATTTTAACAAAAAACTACACTTTGAATGGATATTGTTACCTTGTACAAAATACAATCATCAGAACACTGTATACAATTTATTCGTTTTTTAACTGATACGTTTATAACTATATAACATTTACTCATTATTTTGTAATTCAGATCATTCTTTACATGTTGACGTCAACGGTTACTTTCGTGGCTTCGATTCTTTGCATCGAATATGATAGATTGCAGATGACATTCATATTGAAAAACAAACAACACGAAGGACATTTATTTAAATACAGAATGTATGTACTTTGGTATGGTTTGACAGTCAATCTGCGATAATGAAATTTCTAGTCACACATCATTCACCATGGTTGCTTGACTGATTCGAATTCTAGACCACAGATTGCATTTCCTCCTTGCTCTACTGAACATCTATTTAGCAGTACGCACAGGAGGGTGTAATTTACCAAGATCTCTTAACTTAATTACTGTCAAATGTACTTATAATGTCTTGCTTTCGTACAGTATACAGCTGGGTTGGGTCTGAAAATCCGGAGGGCTGTGCACAGCTGAAAAAATAGACAACTACTACTTATATATGTGGGAATTAGTATCAGAATCCATCCAGTTCCATATAATCTGTTCCATTCATTCCACCCTCTTTGATGTATACTGGTTTGTACCAGTGATCTCATAACCTAAAATAAATGCAACGCCAAAATAAACAATACATTCACACGAATCAATTCGGATATGCAATATTTAACTCGGTATTTTTTTAAACAAAGTTGCTCCACAATTTCAGATATCTTGCATGCGTTGTTCTGGCTTCAATCGCCGTTTCGGTGAGCGTACTTTCAATATACGTAGGGTCAAGGATGGGTGCATTAGAAGAATCTCGCCTTTACATGGAGAGAGAGGGAAAGAACGCAGTTTTGAAAAAGAAAGATAAAATGGCGGTATGCTTTTTCCTATTCATGCATTGTTAACATAACATAATAACTGTACCTAGAAATATAAAAGGCTATATTGAGAACGTGTAAGCGTATATAGAGGGAAACACCGCGATTTTTTCTATTTATAATAATCTAATATGACTGCAAATTCTTCAGTGTGATACCATCACACCGCACACAGTTCACCAAAATTTATATATTTTTCGATTTCAGTGGTCTGCCGGAGTGTTGTGGCTTGCAAATACAATCATTCGAAAAAACCGCCCGGCAACAAATGGTCGAGAACACATGCGCGGCGAATTTGTTTCGGAAGAAAACATTTCGGAGACAAGTGGAGAATCCATGTGGAACGAAGGAAAATCGGTATGTTGTTTTCAAAGTACATGGGCAAAATAAAATATTTCTGACAACGACTCATCTTGCCATAACTTCAACAAATGTCAATTCGGCTGAAAAATATTACAGAATTTGATACTAACGCGATACGCGAAAAAAACATTGTTATAATCGAAAAGAAACAAGTATCTTGTCAAACGTCGAGTCGTGATAATGATCTTGCTGCTGTTATTTACGCTTTTAGGTAATACAGCCACAAATAGTGCCAGTCGGTTCCTGTCGCTGTCGTATATAAGGGCGTATCATATCCTTTTGAAATGATAGTTTCAGCGTATCACTGAACTCAAATAGCTGATTTGTGAAATATGTTTTAATTTTGGAATATACGATACCCCGCGGCAATATTAACATTGAACAAGCATGGCGCTTGATTACTTGATCCAATCTCAAAAATACGATTAAGATTTTAATTGCAAGTCATTGGTGTAAATTGTCAATAACGCGCATATTCCCAACCTCAACAAAATTTTTACACGGTCACAAAACATGTTATTTTAATAAAATTTAACAGTAAATGAATCAAGTCTCAGTTGCGTTAAGATGTATTACTTCAGCGGTTAATGTACACAAGATTAAGAAATTAAAACGGAAAAAAAGTATTCACAAGCAACACAAAAATTCGTTTACAAAACGGAAACAGACAGCAGATAATTATGTTGAAATTTAACGTGTAATTTGTAATTGAAAAATGCAAAATATATGAAAATACTATTCTCCCGTATTTCTTCAGGGCATATTCTGTTCCTCAGAAATACTTAAGATATGACTTGATCGCATAATAACCCTAAAATATCGGGTTCGTACAAAACCTTTTACCTCGGGCAATGTAGAATAGTCCATCATAGTTTCATTGAACATGTAATTACTCGTAAGCAAGACATGCTAGGATTCCAGCAGTGAACGAAACCAAACAAAAAAGAGCATGCTGCCATAACAAAGAATTAGCATCGATGTATGATCAAATCCACCTTCTTGATTAATTTCCATCGATTCATCACTATTGTGACTTTAAATGAAATATTAAACGTATAGATTATTACATTTCGTCTGAAATATAATTAATAATTTCGTTGAAAAATAGGTTTTTAAAAGCACTAATTTCCAATAACTTCCACGAAAACAACTTATAGAATTAAACAAAATTATAACTCATTGTGGTCTTGAAATACGTTATTTTCCCCCACAAATGGCCAATATTGCAGTAGCTATTTACCGGTGTGTAACAGGTTAACAGCAACATAATCTTCGACAGGTAAACAAATAAATATTTTTCATCTGGGAACGAAAGCGCAAAAAATGTTAAGATGAATCGGCAAAAGGACCAAAATTTGGATGAGCCCGTAATATTGTTATTGGATGGAATCTCTTGTTGACAATGTTTCAATCTTTTATTCGAGGAATTCGTGGGTTGATGTCTTTTGTGAAAATTGCAATATGTTCGAATCCGTACTTTGTTAGTTCAGGGAAAGCGGCATTAATTGAGCAATTATTAATAAATACTTTATAACTTATTACTTACTACCAATACATATTATTTTCGTCTAGCCATCACACCTCGTTCTGGCTCCACAAAATTTATATCGTCAAGGAGAAGTAACGACAAAGTCGGAACAAACAAGGATGCTTCGAAAATCGGAAAATACAACATTGACTCGGGTGACAGATTGAACAGATATCAAACGAATGATTCAAAAAGATCGCGTTTACGGCGAATGGAAAAGCTGAACGAGCAACATCTACGATGGCAAAAGAAACGACAATGATAACCAATCATTACTAATTCTACGTCGCGCATGGACACGCATTCTACAACATACATTCAACAAGACAGCTATACTCAAATATATGGACACATAGAGCCACATAATTTTGATGACGTCATAGCGAAAAAAAGTAATTGCCTTCTGGAGAAAAATTCTATCTTCAACCACTGAAAATTTCAAAGCAATTGGTCCAGTAATCGAAGAGAAAAACGATTTCTTCAAAACGTGTCAATGAACATGAACACATAACAACAAAAGGATCGTTATGTCCACTACGTGTCCAATACCAACAAAACGATCGCTATGTCCACTACGTGTCCATAACGAATGTGACTGAAGTAATTTGGACAAAATGTATCCAATGGTTAAAAGGAAGTTTGTAATCATGAGGAATCTCCGTATCATTTGCGATTTAAAAACACCAAGCGATATGTATAGTGAATAAATCATCCAACAAGATCATGGTAGAGCCATATTCTGCAAACTTCAAAAAACAAGTTGACACGCTAACATTTGGAATGCGCTTGTTGTCTGCTGTCTTACAGACAAGTGAAATATTTGGCTTTTATATCATTTGCTATTGCTATTTCGTTTCTGGTGGCATAATTACAACTATTGCCTACGAAATTTTTTTCTGGAATCACTCTACGATATCCTGTATCTTCCTCATTTAAAAATATTCAAGATGATCATTATATTCAGCTTTCGTGTTTATGGCTATCATTATTGGTTATGGTTATTAAGGTGCCTATTGCCTATTTCGTTTTAGTAAAAGAAAAGCTCGATTGCAAGGCTCAATCGATTTGCAGAGATGAAGTAAATCTGATCAAAGTTAAATTTTTTCCAAAACGTATAAATTCTGATTTTTACTACACGAATACCCTAATTTTTCGCTAAACTCATCTGCCAGTAAGTAGTTCGTTGAAGTATCATTTATTTTGGGGTTGATAGCAATGGGTGAATTATCAGACATTTTTTATAAAAAGTTCGCGGGCGATAATGCAAGAAGGTGAATAACATCGCCTTGTTATTTTTAACGTATTTGATAATCACTCAATTAATTTTTTTACCCAGTTATTCAATAGACATATGTGGAAATTGATTTTAATATATTTTCTGAAAGTTTTACTACAACTTGCAGAACTATTTCAAAACTTTATTATGATAACTAGAAGTAGTTGGAACTCATATTCGTCGTAAATGAATTGACAACACTTTGTGTTATTATTGGTAACGTTACTGTTCCAGAAATAAAATTTGACGAGCGTTTCAACGTTTCTGTCACAATAAACGTCATAATCGGAATCTATAACGCACAACTGATTTACAGCAAGCTTCTAAATCACCTGTCGACAAAAACGCGTGGTGCATTCTAAAACGAGTGATCGTATAACTCATTAAAAGGTTTCTCCCCTAGAAATAATAAAAACACATCGTTATTTTAAATCAGGGTTTAATTAATCGAGTCGATATTAATCCATCAAGAACAAAACAATCATTCATTAAGACCACTAACTGTTGTTTTATGATTGCACCTAAGATTTGCGTCATCTCGGCATATATCTCTTTGGGTTAGGGTATTTGGGTTAGTGAGGTATCTCCGTCAATGTAGATTATGAAGCTATGCCATCCAGTTCATGCAATCTTCAGTGCAGTCCAAGCCCTTCTTAGGATTATAAGTAAAACCCGTTATATCATAACTGATTTCATATAACATCGACTTGATATATTGAAAATGATGCATCCATATATATAGAACACAACATGGATTACATCACAGAACTTCACTATAAATCTTACAAAATGGTTTCCGTCATTTCCCTGAGCTACGGTTGTTTTTAAACTATTCGCAAGGTATAATGTTGGGTAATTCCGAAATAGACGAGATGTAGTAGGTCTGGGGAAACGTTCAGAAATATCGTTTTTTTAGTAAATTTATGAGCGAGGGTTGAAAATTTCTACAATCTGACAATATTTTTATCAAATATCTGAATATAAAATAAATCCGGAACCATGACAATTAGTCATAGAGACTACTATTACTAGCAGCGGAAGTGTACTAATATACATTTCTCAAAATTCATAAACATGAAAATTATCCTAAGAGTCGCATTCGACATTCTTGGTATTACAGAATATATCTCCTCATGCTCTCTCTCATTTCTAATGTATCATGGGTACTGAAAAATGAATAGCAGATAAATTCAAGTATGAGTGTGGATCGCCACATAAAATTCAATTAATTGTAATATATTTTGTCTGGCACGATAACATGATTTCGTAGTAGGTTCAAAGGTCAATTTATATGCATAGTAGGTTCAAAAGGTCAATTTACATGCATAGTAGGTTCAAAAGTCAATTTACATGCTAAAATTGCCTATCATTCCTTATCATTCAAGATAGTAGAATTGAATTTTTGAAACATCTCAATAGACTTTAGGTACTTTCAAAGCATCCTGTTACAGACTTGTACAGTTGAAAATAGAGGTAATCGGATAATCCACTTCAAAATAGCCAAAACTGCAAAAAAATTAATCTTCACCGGAAATATCCTGTAAGAAACTTATACACACACAACTTGATAATAAATACTAAGTGAAATTCTAAAATTCTCTGAATCAAACTTTTAATAGTATACCTTTAACTAATTAAGGACGTTCTTAGCCGAAATTTTCAAGAATAATTTTTAATTTTAGAGCAGCGGGTGCAAGAATGTATTGTGATCTGATGTACAAAAAAAAGGTCTGTGTGTTAATGAATTACTAAACAAATTTTATTTCAACATGGAATGCTCTCGGGTAAAATCCAGTTTTTAGTCAAATTTTTATTAAGTAAATGGGCAAGACTAAAATAATAAGCTGTCTCAAATGGATAAGCAAAGGCATATTGCTGATAAGCAAGCGGGATAAACTGGGAATATATTCAATGTTTCCAATATACAATTTAAACTTTAAATTAGCATTGAATTAATCGGCATTTTTAAATTGTTTGTCGGCTAGATAAAATTGAATATCTGTCTCTCTCTGCAGTGAGTTATGTCAATGGATAAAGGATTTTGGACAAACTAAGCAGCTGATGTTAGAGATTTACAGCTAAACTAGGAAGTCTAAGACAAGAGTTATAAACTTCCTAATGCTAAAATTTACAGGTTGATGCAGGTATTATTTGATATTTTTAAAATATAATATTATATTTTTCCATAAACGAGTGTGGGCCAACTATAATTTAGTTACGTAATTACTGTGCTTAGAACATAAACAGCATCTGATCGACGTAAATTGCGTCAAACTCCATAACTCACGATCGTCAGATGAAATATTTGATGAGATAACAATCCCTAATTACCGTGGTAAATGATGTATACCTATAGCACTTTCTAACTTACCCCTTTTTATTGCCACGTAAAGGTACACGGCCATTATCTCATTCTTTTTATAATAGCTGGAGTCTAGCAAAATATTTGCGACCGTTATCTCTTTAAGGCACCCGCATTATAGGCGCGAAATTTATGGAGAAACAAGAGATTAGAAGTTTGATGACATCGTCATTTAAAAGAGAAACAAATAAAGCGAGAAAAAGGCATCGGTCATCTGAGCGATATTAAAGAAACGGGAGTCAGAGGAGAAATCAGTATCACTCCCAACTCCATAGTTAGACAGGTGATTCGATAAAGAATAACTAGTCAAGCAGTCGCAAAAGAGAAAGGCTATATTGATATCAGCCTAACCTATCACAGGATTTCTCAGTGTGCGAGAGCAAGGTAACTAAGTCGGTTTACAGTTGTTAGTATACGAACTTCAGATCTTTTAACTAAATTTCTCTGCATATGATAAATTGGTATCAATAAAGAGAACAGAAAAATTGTAACTTAAATGTAACTGACACAATTTCTTCTGTTTAAAGTAAATTTGTATAAAACTGTCAAAACAAATTGATTATTTTGTATAATAGGGAAATACTTCGATAATACTTTTCCTAATAAATAATGACAGTCAAGGTATTAAAGTAACAACTGCTTTTTTTATTCCCAGCTCCGCTCAACAAACAATAATGCGTGTCATTACATTGGTGTGTTTATTTGCAGTTTCTGCATTGGCTTTGCCAACACGAAGTAAGTTATAATTTGGTTATGTTATTATGTATTATCTAGGTTGAATTGTAAATTAAAACAATGTTTTTTTTTCTCTTCAGAATACAATTCTAATACGGATACCGCAATATGCGTTTTTTCGTTATTGTCAGTTCAGAAGAGAGGAGGTAAGAACAGTTTTATTTTATATCAGTTGTTCCCTTAGCCAATAATATAATTAATATTATAATAATGATAAAGAACTCAAACATATACCTATTACTGCAGCAAATACAGTGCAAAATTTCTCTCCAAAATGACAAAATTTCTCCTAAGTTAAAAAACGTTTATATATTGTGAACATATTTGAATATTTCAATTTTTAGGAGATCCGACAAATATGTTGAAAGATATTTCACCTTACCTATCTCGAGAAAAGAAACTTGATAACAACGCAAGGCAATTGTTACTTATAGCTGGAGGTTTGACATCAGGTACGAACAAACTTTGAATTTTGCAAACAACCAAAACCGATGGATATAATTAAAATACGACTGTTTAAATTATTTTGTTAATCGTAAATTTATTTTACAATTTGAATCAGTTTTATTTATTCATACAATTTATCTTTTATTCAGCCCAAGCCGAGAAGATGTTAAATGAAATATTGCCAATACTGGCTGGCGAAGGCAAATCACCCTATGAACAACTGATGGCCATTATGTTCATGGCAGACCGAGTGTGCGCCGATGGAGAAAGATGTAAGTGTACAAGCTAAAAAAGGAAAATTTTCGTTTGTTGAGAAATCTTGGTCAACAAAATTCTAATCTTTTTGTTAATCACAGGCAACGGTGATGACTATACATTGTTCCCATTTTTGACAATGGGCGAAGAACGTGGTTGCATCGCAGATGAAATTAAAGCCAACTACCGAGTATCCAGTGACGACAAATGTGTCTGTAATGACCAGGACAATGTACTTCTTTGGATAGCTTTATTGGACGAAATCCAGGAAGCAGCAAGAACTGGAAACAAAAGTGCAATAACCCAACATTTGCCGAACCAACTACCAGTTATTTTGATGATGTTGATGGCAGAAACACCATGCGAGTAAGTATCAAACATTTTATGATAGTAATAATGATAGTCTAGTCATCTCTGTCTCGTTGTATAAGATAAAATGCTGAAGATATGAAACGATTATACTCAATAAAAAACAACAACGTATTTTACACTAGAGAACGCTGTAAGCTAATTATTTGTTACAGTGGAACAATCCAGGGAACCAACAGACGATGCCAGTGTGAAAGAGTTACTGAAGGAAACGACGGAATTTTGATGCAATACATGGTCAATGCACCCGGTGGTCAAGAAATTCTGACAGGTAACTTACAGATTTCGGAAATAAATTGCTGGATTTTATATGCGCGGGCATGAGCTCTGGTTCTTGAAAATTATTCACAATATTCAGAAGTTCCCTCCATATTATCAATGGCGCTGCAATACTATATTCGTATAAATTTTACGTAGTTTTTGTACGGTGCCAAGCGGTACCAGAAGAAGTCGACTAGTGTAGACTGTAGATATCACGACAAAAAACCCCCGAGGGATACGTGAATGAAGCGATAACATAGAACACCATATAATTTGCACGTATTGAAATCTTTGTTTGGACTCTACGTTTTAAATTATTTAATCATTGTTTCTTCATTTTCAGAATCTGCAAAGGTAAAAGTACAACAATATTCTCGTGAACCAACAACCAGAGCAGGAAATGCAAATTTAATGCAGATGATGATGCTTCAGGGCAACGTTAATCCTATGTATTTGCCTTTCCTAACAGGGGGTGCGTCATCATCACAAAAAATGATGCAATTATTGGCTGCTAACATGGGTAAGTTAGATACTTCACAATATTCTTCGTCCCAACCTCGAAGTTTTAAATGAAAAAAATCCTGGATCAGGCGTAGACATAAACCGTCACGCAATCAGTATACAGTTGAATTAGCATATTTTAGGTCGATGAAATAATTATACCCAATATCGTTTCTTAATCTTATTTCTATTTTATTAGGATTGGATCCTGCAACTACTCAACTGCTTCTGAATGGGGGCTTCAATAAAGATGGAAACAAGGTTGCACTTATCAACTATATGGCTAACAAAGGAGTGGTCTCTCCTGATGCCGTACCATTTGTTCTTGGTGTAGACAAGGGTTCAACTTTCTTCCTCCAATCTATGATTCAATCCGTAAGCACCTATGCTAAATTTCCCGTGAATTTAAAATGCATTTTGCTCGCCCCACGCCTGCAACTAATCTTTATTGTTTTATGTTCAGGGTGCCATTGATCCTGTCATGGGAAATCTCCTGCTGGCCAAACAAACTGGAGCAAGTCAAGGGGAGGTTTTCGAATTGATTACTCAACTTCGTAAGTTAATTTTTAATATGCAAAATAAGAATTAAAAGTTTAATGATTTGATTGAATTACATTCATTTTGATTTTTTGAATCACAGTTTCTGGAAAAAAGACAGACTTAAAAGACTTTGGCAAACCTTTCATTCCATCCCTTCCATCTGGAATTTTCCCCGGAATGAAACTCTTCTTCCAACATTTCGAAAGACTTGGAATCAACACTTGTTCTCTCCACGATTTGAGAAACAGATTCAACTGTGGCTACGATGGAATCTCTGCAGCACAATGCGAAGTTCTTCCTTATTGTTGTTACAACGTGAGTACATAGCTTTTATTAAATAACTAGAGCGACATATTATACAATTTCATTAAACAAATTTCTATATCATTCATTTCAGCCTGTCTTCCTCACTGACAATGAGGGTCAGGGACATGACCGACGATGCTATTACATCTGCAGCCGCTGTTACCTTGGTGTTTACAACGTATTTTTCATCTACTACGAATCTTGTAAGTATAATTTACACAAGTAGCATTGAGAACATATTGAAGTTTCTTTTGTTTTCATTATTTTGAGTTTTCCCTAATTATATCCTGATAACAATCATAATTGTATTTTTTGTTCAGTCTCCCTCTCTGTCAAAAGGCCTGGAGGAATTTGCTCGACCAGGCATCGTGTTTGCCACTTTTCAAGTATGGACTTAATATAGACGCATCAATCTACTACAGCTTCGCCAAAGATAAATCAAGCAGCTCAATCAACAGTCTTATTAACATGGTAAGTTACAATTACATATATAATTTGTATATTATTGGGATGTAATCATAATATATTCATATCAATACAATGTGTATATATTTCACGTTCACGAGAGAAGAATGCGGATTTCCAGGTATCACCGAATTCCACTGCGTTGCTATTCGTGGATGCTGCTGGGATGCGTATGCTTCGTACAAAGTGCCACAATGTTTCAAACCAAATGGCGCAAGTAGCGACATTAGCGATCTCAACGATATTCCTTTGGCTTATCAACCCAGTAAGTTTTTGTACTGATAACTTGAAATTTTCTCCATAATCATGTTGTATCAAAGCAATTAACGCTTTATTCGTTATTTACAGAAAACCAGACTTGCAGTGTCAACTATTATCAATTTCCAATTTTGTACTACCGCCGTATCGCCTGCATGCCAACGTTTGACATGTTCACCAAGGGCCGTGACCCCCTCAAGATTCCAGACAAGTACGAATGTCTTTGGGATCTCGGTAAGTTGAAATGATTTTTTGACTTCTGTGGCGAATTGCACAATTTGTCAGTATATATTATAAATATATTAATAATCGACTCTATTACTTTTAGGATGTTGTTATGAAGAAAATGATGAGGTGTCCAAAAAATTCGACTATGTACCAAGATGTTACAAACGAGAAGATGGAGGCTATTCAGTCCAAGCTAACGTTATTGGTCAATTATCTGATTTAATCACGCGATCTGGTAAATATTATTAAACAATTCATGTCATTTGTATTTCCTTAAACGGTATCGAAAAAGTTCTGACATTCCAATTATTTACAGGTTCAATTAACATTGACACAAAGAAGTTTCCTGGAGCCAACCAGCCTTAAACGTGATCGGATGTATTTAACCTCTATTTCCTCATCATCATGCTATGAGTTTATATATATATAAATTACCATGCGAGAAAAAAACTGCCTGAAAATCTTTACCTTGCGAATGATATAAAAAGTATAATTTATATATATTTTGTAAATCCATATAAAAAATATTGAAATCTGAATATTTGATTATTTTTTTTTACTGTCGATACAAAAGGTTGTTTTGATAAGTATTTTTACTTTAGTATCCAAATACCTGAGCATATTGTTGTTTGTTTCCGTGAAATTAGATTTAAAAAAAACATCGTGATCATTTTTCAGCAATTATTTCACTTCTCAGCTCTTTTTTTATAATAATAAGTGTAATTTTTTGGCCTGTGTTGGAGTTTCAAGCCTTTTAATAACGTTTGTGGTTTTATTGAATTTTTGGTGTCAACGTCTAACGTATCAATTTAGCGATTTCCCTATGTACATGATGTGTTTTTTCCAGTGCCAAGTAGCCTTAATGCTTTTGGATTGCATGAAATTTTAATACGAATTACAATAATAAAGAATTGCAAAGGTAAAAACAGAATTGAACTTTTTCGAGTTGAATTTTATTGGGGTTTTAGGCAGTGGTGGGGATTCAGCCAGTTCTATAAAACAGTCTTACAGAATTTTATGAGATCAGCGAAACCGGTTAGCATTACTGGTTACATCCTCCCTCCCCCCCCCCTTTTTTTTTTGAAAAACAGGCTTAAAATATGACTTTTTGTGATGGAACCGGCTGACAAAAATTTGCATTTCCACCACTGGTTTTAGTGATGTACACAAAATGTATTTCCCGGTTATAATTCGTTGCAAAACATATTTGTTATATGCTTTGAATCCCTAGTACCACGTTAAAAGAAAAGCAACAAATCGAATCAATGATAGGCATACTTAATACGAAGCGGGCGCACTACACAGCATCTCAAAACTCATGTAACTTATCATTATTGTTTGTAATTAAAACTCGAGATGACGTTTGCACGGCGAATTTCAAACAAAATTGAGCACATTCATGACTAACGATTTTCAATAGTCGGCTAACCTAAATGATGAATTATTTTAGAATGCGTCATTATATCTTTTGTAATGCCAATAGGGGTAACATCTCTAGCGCTGTATTGCGGAAATGGATAAGCTTGAGAAGACTATTACAGTATTCATTATTGAGCAATAAAATTAATAGATCGCATATAGATAATATAATAAGATTTAATTTTAATTATATTCTGAAAGAGGGAATTATTCTGAATTGCCCATTCCTATAGTTACCTCTATTTGCGTAACATACTGCAATGTTTGATATATACTATGCATTCGGAGCTGTGGTTCCCAACCTATTCGGTGCCATAGACACTTTTGAATTAATATTATACGCAGATATTGATTTGCCCTTATTATTTTCCTTCTATGAGTAAGTATAGGGAATTGGTTGCCCTATAGGTAGCTAGTCGATTCCCGTGTTATTGAACACACCTGTTATGGAATGTAACCCCAATCTGGACTTAATCATAGGTCAATAAAGCACACGATGTATTGAATGCCAAATATTGTTATATTGAAAGTTTCACAATCCAATCCAAATATATTGAAAATACACATAACTCGTAATACAGCAAAAACAGAATAACACAAACACCATATATATTTCAGCACTCTTTAGCGGGGACAAGTTCATAAAACTCAGTAGCCTACCTTGTAATATCTGTAAATTTAGAACAACGACGCAGCATTTCGTCGATGGGAAAAAGTTTACAGTTCAGACACAAATTAGAAGCCAGTCAAATTGATATTTCTAAATTCGGTCTGGCAGGGGCATCGAGGGCACCTGCTCAAATATGACAGCAACACTCCATGCATGACGAATCAGTGATTAGTACAAATGATGTACGCACTCACTACGCAAAAAAGCGAAACCAACCGTACGAAATTTAGATGATTCGTACAAGAATTCCTCCGAGCATTGAAATTGCATCAGGAATAATGTAACGATTGATGGACAATACTGGACTGTTTTTTGAATTCAGATGGACCTGCCACTGATTTCCCTCATTCGGAAACCCGAATTAAGTCCTTCTCCAAAGTATTATAAACATTTTCAGTTATTCGCATGCACGCGAATCCGTGTTTTCGCAAAATGAATTTGTTTACTATAAAACACTTCGGTCGTGATATAAGTGCTGCATGCGGACAGATCAAAACTACACAATACCAACCAGGGATTATAAGACTTGAGGAAAAGATGAAACATTATGTTCAGTGGCGTGAAAGGGGCAACCGCCCCGGGCGGCACGTTGCAGGAGACAGCAGGACCAAGCTGTAAAGTTTGCGTTATTACACATGTTTTTCTTGACGTGTTTTTTCAGTGGCGTCAAAATTTTGATTCCGTCAAAGTCTTGACTTTTAATAGTGATAAAATTCAAACAGACATTATGTGTTCAGTCTTGTGTGACTCCTACCATTGACCCCCGAAAAAGTCTTCCTATATTTTACAATCGCGAGTTAGCGCCTTAAACTGGGCTATATGTTTAAAACAATCATTGTAATTCAAAATATTCAACCCTGTTTCCCCGAAAATAAGACCTAGCCTGATTTTTAAAAATTATTTTAATATAAGCCCTCCCCTTAAAAAATAAGACCTATAGCAAAATAAGACCTATAGTCAATAACGCTAATTTTTTTTTTGACTCAGTCCAAGGGTGGCCATGCGGCTCTTGCGCCGGTTTTGTGCGGCTCTTTTCGCCTTGGTTCTTTCAAGGGAAAAATAACAATTCATTATATTTAAATAAAACATATTATGATTCATCGAGCATTGTTCCTTTACGTCGAAGACACATGAGCGCCTTCACTGACGGTACGTGCAATCGCCCATTATTGCGTCAACAACATTCTTTGTTGTGAGTAGCGTTTATTGCAATAAACAGGATGCCGCAATCCTATCGAAAACGAAGTCCGGTGGCGAATCCGCAGTTTACTATTTAGGTGAAGTAGTTGAAGTGCAGATAAAACGTGGTCGACAACCGATTTATGTTAATTCTGAGACGGATTGCTTGAAATTCCCCGTTGGTCTCTGTTGGATATTTGGACTAGAGTTCTAACGTTTGACTTTCTATTTCAGTTACTTTAGCGTACTGTAGACTCCGAACCTTTTGCTCGGTGCAAACAATAATACTTTGATACGATCATAGTTGAACCTTGCAAAATCCCTTCCAAGTTCCACACTGTCAAACAATCTGAATTACTTTGAAACTTATATTGAAAAGGTTCCACAGCATATATTGAAAAGGTTCCTTTAAACGTTAATGTCGAAAGTTAATCATCAAGCAGCAAATCCAGAAATAATGACAGTAAACATATATATAGGTAACTTGCAGGTGTAGATAACGTCTTGAGAACAAATACGAAACGTCCAAATCGGGCTAATGGGTAACTAGTACCGTAACGGGTAATGAGTACCCTAACGGGGGTTTTACAAAAGTGAACAACTTAAATCACAATTAAGATAAATAACTTAACTGCAAATAAATAACAATGAGGGATATTCAGTGGAGCTATAATTCCTATTGAATCATAAACATATAACTAGTCTGAATGCCATAGCCCTAAACAACTTAACAAAATCTAATGGTCACGGTAACTAAACTAAGTCATACGCAACCTACCGCATTACAACCACAATCTAGGAATTACAGTTACAAACGACACGTCTCGATAATCAAAGATGCTCGTCGACTTCGGCAAGTCTAGAGACGTCTCGATGTGACATCACAAAGGGGTACACGTAAATAAATTGAGCAACGCGATTGCGACACTATGGACCTTTCCCCGAGCATCGACTTCCTTGTTTATTCCGTGACGTTGGCCAATCAGCAAGATGCAAAAAGTGACGTAACAATGCCCCCTTTTCGCATCCGCTCAGACACTTTTCTCACTCAGACAGATTTTCAAGCGTGGTTGTAAACATGACCTCGTTTTCGCATTTTTGAACTCTATTCGTTAGTTTTCAGTTGTGTTTCGGAAACTTGAATAAAAATCAGATAATTCAATGATCACTCTGTCTTCTTAGGAGTTTTAATTTAATTGCAGTAATAAAAATTAGTGTAGAAATAGCTGTGATAGACTAGCCTGAAATTCTTTACCGGTACTTTTAAAAAACAGATTGTTGTGTGCGATGAATCCTAATGATGATTTGAAACACATACCCAATTTTACAGGCGCCAACTCGCAAAAGCACTCCTAAAATAGCCCTGAAAATTCTGCAATGGTAAAGTATAGGAAGAATTTTCCGGGGGTCAAAGGTCGGGGAAAGGTCCATAATGTAAACAACTTGATTACAAAATGAAATTTGATTATTAGCAGTCCGTAACAGTCTCAGATGAGGCTGCAATCGGGTTGGATTATCCGCATAGCGATTAACCGAGTTATTTTGCTATCTGATATCCGGATATTATTGTGACGGTTTACCGGATAATAGAGCAGTATAAGCAGGGATTCCATCGATCTGGAACCCAAAATAAGGACAACCGGAAAAATTTCTGCATTGTGAGCAGAAATAGCTGGCTTTCCTATGGCCCCCAGGTTAATGTCACAATTACAGACGTCACAGTGTGCGGTGCACTCACCTTCCAAGCTTCGTTTAACTTTGAATTATTTTCCGTACTCATCACGAAAAACGTTTTTGCATTTGCTCATTTTTAAATTTAGGCTAAAATAACCACCACCACGACAAAACCTAAGGATCGCCAAACTAGCAATGCTTCATGCCTATCTGTGGGTTGCTTCTTTGTGTTTCAAATAAGATTATGTTGCTTCCATGATGCCACAATAAAGTTTTGGCGATAAGACAAACAACATAAAGCTTCCTTTATGAAGTCCAAATAAGACAATATAAGGACACGCAAGTCAAAAATAAGGTTGCAAGCCAAAATAAGGACAATTCTTAGAAATTAAGGACAGTATGGAATCCCTGAGTATAAGTAATGCATATGTGCATCAGCGTTTTTTATATTTTTTGTTGAGTGGCCACTGATCTCCCAGAGCATATAATAACAATTTTTTTACACTAATCTGCCTATATTTTAGCCATCCGTGGAATGCTGGAGTAAACTTCACTATTACATTACAAGACACGCAGAACAAATGTGAATATTAGAACAAATGCGCTTGTTAGAAGAGCTCATTGGCTTTATAAAGTTACTGGAGGATTGGAACGGGAGGTACAGCACAGTTTAAGCAAGACTAACTTGAACGAATTCAGTTGAAAAACATTGGATGGGTAGGTGTGAGTTCGTTGCTTTTTAGTCGGGTGTGGCTTTTAGTTGTTGCGTGCATTGAAGGAACGCATTTCATGATGGAATAAACCAGTTTGAATTTCGAGGACTTATTTCACAATATTTCCGATTCCATGCAATCTGTGTACCATTTCAAAATTTTGGGTACACGAACAAATAATATGTGCTTGCTTTTAACTTCAGTGTATATGTTTTTTCGGTGCTCCCGAAGCCCCGTTTTTTCAAATTTCCATGTATCAATCGAATCAATAGATAT